ATGTCCACTATGCTTTGCTTGTTTGTGACTTGCCTTTGATGCATCTAAACATTATATTTACTTTAGTCATTATTAGCTGATTAATTTCGTATTTATTGCTATAGTTAAAAACTAAAAGTGTGAGCAGATAAGTGAGTAAATATTAATTGTGAATTTTTAATATAGGTGTAATAGTCGGACTCAGTCAATCAAAAATTACTACATTGCAGGCAATTATAGAGCATTGTTTATTGTAAACTCTAGTGTTCTCAGATTGTTTACCCTGCTCAATTTCGTAGAATGCTCGAGTTTGATCAAGAGATGTTTGCCGACAGCCAAGTCCCAATCCTGGTAGTGGCAACCAAGGTTGACCTTGTGCCTCAGACAGCTGGACGTGCTCTGGCGACCGTAGCTGATGAATGCGGCACTGACCAGGTGCTTCTGGTATGTTCTGGCTTTTTTTTTTTGCTATCATGGCACTTCATCTCACTGCAAAGGCTCACTAGACAAGAGCTTCCTGAAAATTGTATCACAAGTATCTGGCCGTGTTATCAATGTGTCAGTCAATCAGTCAAGTTCACCTGATGTCCCTGCTAATTTTTTTGTGAGCTTTATAATCTTACAAGGAAACATATATTTGCGGATATTTACAATGTTTACATGCGATGGCAATGGCTGACACACAGGCAGGCTGGGACCAGTCTCTATCCACTTCGTAGTCCTTTCTTCCAAGCAGAGACCCTCTATTGCTTTATGCCCCAATCCCACTACTGCCTTGTGGCACTACCCCACGTAGTGGGATTGGGGCAATATGTACCATCTCTTTGTCTTTATGATTATTGTTCTTGTGACCAAGTCTTTGTATTAGAATTTTCGCACGCTTTCGTTTAAAAAAGAATGAGGGAAAAGTAGTTGAGTTAGGCGGAGGTGGGATCTTGATGACAAAATTTGTGTGGGTGATTGCTGCCTTTTTTGCGATACCTTTCATGAGTGAAAGAAAACTACTGATTTCATGTGCACAAATGAGTGCATGCATTTTTTAAAGCAGTTAAAGTCATCATGTTGTCACAAAGCTTTCTAAATTACAATGTTATTGTGCATTTCCGAGCCTCGTGTACAAGTTTCTGTCACACGTGTGGTCCCTCTGCTCTCTTCAAAGTGTGGAGCACTTTGTGAGGCCGAACTGTAGCAGGCTGTCTTCGTCGCTCGGCGTAACACTCCATGTGTAGCATATTGAGCGCGTGCTTGTGCTGAAGAAAAGTGTTCTACCTCATTTTCTTTTATCACCTTGATGATGACAACTTATCATCATAGGCCAAAAAAAAGTATGTGTGATTGGTGTAATGCAGGCATGAGCTCCTTGAAGATGATGGCTTATCATCATCAGTGTAAAAACAACTACTAGTGCGCTTGGTGTAACACAGGCAATAGAGAACATCGAAATAGAAATCAAGTACAAAATAGAAAAAAGAGAGAACAGGATAAAATCAGAAAAAAAAGATAGAAGTAGTGATAAAGAGAAAGAAATAAATAAAAGAGAGAGAAAAAAATAAATCGAAATGAAGAAAGGAAAAAAAGAAAAAAAATGGAGCAGGAGAAAACAAAAGAGAGGAGGAAGGAAAAACAGAACGGACGAGAAATAAAAAAGCTGGCCAGCTCCACACTTCTTTCAGGCTTGGCACCCGTAGTGCAGAGCTGTCTTAACGTTTTTTATGACGGGTGGGTCATGGCAAATTGCATTTTGCCTTTGCTTCTAACTTCATGGCAACATTTAAGATATGCATCGCTATGGAGCCGCATCTATGTGAGACAAAATTTCTGCCCAACTTCACGCAGTTAGTGTTGCACACGCAATAATGTGAGATGTGTGACCAAATTTTAGATGCGAGGTGTCTTAAGGTCAAGCTCAATCCGGTGTGCGGCATGACAACCCTTACAACACATCTCTCGCTTCGCAATGCTGCCGTAGGTGGCGTCTTCTAGCAACCGCTCACTTTCCCTCTCTCTCCTCAAGGCATCTCACCCAGTGGCATTTACACCCCCATTGTGCACAAGCGTTTCCTCTCTCTCTCTCCTATGCCCTCCCCTCTCTCGCCTTGCATCGCTGATGCAAGCGCCGTGCTAGAGTGTGTCTTGACTGAAAAAACTGACTGCTTGTGCTGCACAACCGTTCACTGGCCACCCCGTATATATAGGCGCTGAATCTTAACCTCCGAGATTGCTGGTGGGAGATTTCTTTCGTGCGTTGTTGAATAATAAAAATTTGCAGCGTGCGCGTTATTTAAGAACAGGCTGCAGGTATTGGTGTCCAATCAGAGTCTCCTGTCTCTCATTGGCCATTAGCAGTGTTTGGCATGTTACAGCAGAAAACACCGGTACATCACAGCTTGTTTTGCGGCCCCCAGGTTTCTCTCCTGCACGGTGGTGCGATAAGCACCAGTGTCAATGCTGCCACCAGTCTAAGTGTCAGCGCCCGCTGCTTTGCATCTACTCACGGTCCCCTTTAGCTAATCTTATGTATGCTATTTTGCTCTCTTTGTTTGGGAAAAAAAATTATATGTTCTGTGGTGTACGTGAAACCTATGTTCTGATTGCATTCTACATCATTCCAGGACACTCACAATCCAAAGACTCTTTCACCTGGCTCCAGTAATGCCCTCAAAGTTACTAGATTTCTGGACAAGGTTGTAGAGCGGCGCTTCCGTAGCGGAGCAACTTCTCCTCCAGCATCTGCCACGCTACCTGTGATTGATCGTCGGCGAACCAAGCTTTCACATTTGGACTGAACAAACTGGCAAAAGACACTGTGTTGAAATACTCCACCCCTGTGTGACACAACGGCTGTGTATGTCTGTTGTTATGAAAATAGCAATATTGTTCTTATAAGTAAACTTTCACCATGTGGCGCTGATTACGACAGACTGTGACTCGCATAAATGAACATATATGATGCCTCTGCTTAGAATACGAGCAATCCGTCTAAAGATGTGGTTGAATAGTTGTGAAAGAGATTTAACAAAAGCCAAGCTTGTGTTTTTTCACAACTTGCTTCTTGTCATTCTGGTGATAAACAGTACTGCTACTTGAATTTATAGTGGTGACAGTACTGAAGAGACACATATGTCTCTTCTGGGTACATCGCTTCCAAGGGACTGTGACATCATCTCTGCCTTCAAGTTCCATATGAGTATATGTACTTCAATACATGAAAGTAAAAACTGTGGTTTTTATTGTCTGGCAGCCTGCATTTCGAGAAGATTCTGGTCGTTTCACAAATTAATGGAGGAAATGATCTCCTTTGAATGAAAGAAATTTCATAGAAGTAAATGTGGTCACTTGCAACACTATAAAAAGATCGAGCAGTCTACAGGTGATGTGGCAAACTTATCTGTGGACAAATGCTTGTTGGTGTGTATTATTTACACCCTTAGAGTACGACAGGAAAATAATGCAACAAAGTACAAATACTGACATAAAATCATGCCCCAGAGAAAAAAAATGCCTGGAAGGTGAATTATCCACTGGTGCACTCGAGGCTCAGTAGCTCCAAATCAACACTTTTCAGTACGATTTTTCAAAGACGCTGTATTTCGCCAAGACAAACACGATTAGTGCAAATGTGTGCCTGATACATTTACTCATACTATAATGTTATTCTGAATAAAATTTTTTTGGTCCAAACATGGTGCAGATCATAGGGAATGTTATTTCTAAAAAATGTGGCAATGAAAGAGTAGTAAAACAAAAGTGGTTGAAAAAAATCACAAGTTCTTATGGTTCCTGAATTCGCATAAAGGACGCGGTTGTCCGTGTCACGACGTGGTCACAGAGCACCTACGTTGTCAGTGTCCTTGGCTGCATGCTTGGCTGTTCTTTGGCTTCAGCAGTGTACTAGAAGAGTACACTGTACCTCTATGCACTGTACCAACGCCTAGCCAGCCAACCAACACACGGCAAGTTGCGAGCTTTGCGGCCGCACCATGAGGCGTCGCTACCAACAAAACGATGACAGCGTCCCGCCGGCAAACAAAACTTCATTTAAGCCTTTTCTTCGACAATTTTATTTCTTAGACATAAAAATGGTACGCATAAAAAATTGTTTCTCATTTATTTCAGGTATTTATAAGCCTAAATGGTACGAACGCATGGAAGATTGCAAAGTGACCCATTTTAGCTGGCAGCTAGAACCCGAAAAGAAGCAGTGATGCGGCACTGCTTGTGAAAGGGACGCAGATACGTTTATATTAACTACAGAAAGTTTGCCGAATACTGTCAACAAGGTCTTACGACATCTTCAGCTACAGAAGTGCTGGAACGTTATCAGTATACCTTTATTTATTGCAGCGAAGGTTTCGTGGAGTGCGATGAATGTATCAGCCAGCGCTGGACAGCTTCTGTTCTCCGGGCATCTGAGTTAGGGCTATGCGTAGTACGTACCTTGTTTGCGCATTAACGCTGATGCAAGTATATTGTTCATTGCTGTACGTGATAAAACGTTACTTACGTGGCCTTTATTTCATGTAAACATCGATTGACTTGCAATAAAACAATTCATTGCAGCAAGTTTGTGCAATCAGCGCTGTCGTTTCGCTCGGCCTGTACGCGGCATCTTACTAAAGTAAGTATGCAAGGTACTTGGGAGCTTCTAGAAAGTAGTTTGCTGCAACGAGAGAAATTGAGACAAAGAGCTGCTCCAACGAGCGGGAGACAGCCATGACGCTGAAGCAGACGACGGCGGTGCCGTCTGCTACGCCCTATAGTGCTTTGAAACTTATTTCGTTTTATACTCAGGTATAAATATACATACAATATTATTATTTATTATTTGTTCAAAAACTATTTGAGGGCAAAATATAACAAAAATGTTTCAGTTGTCAGTAAAACAATAATTTTCTAATTTTTGTACAACAGTTTCTAGAATCCAGACGACGCTATTATCGCGTTCAATTTTTTTTTATTTGTTTTCAGTAGACGCGGTACAGCCACTGTGGACGCGGTCTCTGCTGTGCTTGAAGCGAACCCCTCACCCTCGGACGGGCTGTCTCCTCCTCAGACCACTCTGAATTCAACATGGCGGCGCACATCATACAGGAGCTGGAAAGCTCCGCACAAATTCTCCTCGTATGTATAGTTTCAAATTTTCCCAGCGCATCCCGTGGAATAGGAAATGAATCTTACTTGTGTTAGACGCTCATCAGTATGCTCGCCTTCTCAGACTGAGCTGGTGGATACCGCTTTCAAGTCATCGTTTCTTGCCCCTATCCAAATGCTTGCCTCCTTGTTGTGTAAACAAAATTGAATGAGATACCCAATGATTCGCGTATTCTAGTACTTTTCGGTACTATAGGAACTGCGTGTTAGTGCTACGTGACTGATTAGACTTGTTCTAATATCGCCGGAACGGCGTTGTCATTTCGGCGCGCGGGCGGCCTAGTTTCAATGGGACCGGTCAAAATTGATTGCACGGCCAGCGCGTCATTTTTCTCTGCGCTTTTGTGACCGCTCGCGGGTTCTTCGTTGTCTATCACACTGCATACGCGAACGCTGCGTGAAATTATTACGCTGGAACAAAACACTGCTTGTGTGAACGGGACAGGTTCTGCTTATTTATAGACGAATCACGTGCTTTGACGTCATTAGGATCAGCTGCCGTTGATATTCCACTGTTAAGATTTTTCGTTCCAAGGGTGTCGGTTGCGCCTTGCCCGGTTGTGGCAACGTCTATAGTATGACGTTGTGCTTTGTGGTGCCTACGCAAAAACAGCTAGCATGTATGAGAATGACGAACAGCGGTCAAACATTACGCATGTGTTGCACATATTAATCTCATACCCACACCAATTTAAAGGTGCGACTGATCATTTTATTCTCAGCAGATGCTGAACAGAACAATGTTGTCTGCAAACTCTAGGTTGATGAGATATCTCCCCTTTAAGAACTGCACACTTGGTCGCTACTGACTTCAAATGTTCTAGGACAGTGTTGTGAATCAACTAGTAGGGTTATTTGTATCCTCTCACATCTCTTGCAGTTTTGAAGTGACAGTTATCTTACATTGCTCTATTAGTGCGCTCTTGGATGGTGCATTATGTTCAGCTCTCTAGGCAATGCTTGAATATAGAAACATGAGTTCATCGTGATTGTACTCTCCTGAATGTGCCGTCACAGTGGTGCACTGGTAGAGTGAGGCATTTAGGTGGAATATTTAGGGAAAACAAATGACCCAACTGCCAGGTAAAAGTGTATTGTCCATTGAACAAGTTTGTTTGGGTCTGCTGCACAACTATATGTGACAAAATAGAAGTCCCTTTAATTGGCTTGATGCATTTTAACTTTGTGAAGGCAGAACAGTTTTGTGTGGTAATTGCAAATGAAGGGCACCTGATGGGAAACTGTGCTCTAGCTTATAATGCTTGTATACTGAACCTACTGTCGTAGTTGGCATAAAAAGTTTATGCACAATGGTAATCAAACCATCTGCTCATCTTGCTTTGCTTGCACTTTGCAATAAGCGCTTCTCTGAGCTATTAAGCGTTAAGGGAGGGCGATATGTTTCAATCATTTTGCACTCTTGCCTTCTGTGTATTTCCACTCCAGGCTGCACCAAATCAAGTGACAGCTGAGCAACGACATGCAGCTGAGAGGACATTTCTCGACTTTCAAAATACTCGAGCTCCGTTCGAGCTCTGCAAATGCATCTTGGGTGAGTTCCGTCCTATTGGTGCAAAGTCCATGTAGATATTCCTTATTATCATGTGTTTGCAAGCTTGTGAGCCTTCTTTGCAGACTGTATCTGTCCACCACATTCAACAGAGCATTTCCTGTTCATTTCTCTGCCCCTGCAGAAAGCAGCGCTGTGGGTTATGTGCAATTCCAAGCAGCATGCCTACTCAAGCAGGGCCTCATTCGCGAGTGGAAGCTCATGGAGCCGGGACAGTGGCAGGCGCTGTGGCAACACCTGCTCCAGCTGCTGGCGTGCAGACCGAAGTGTGTGATGTCCCAACATTTTATTTGCAGGTTCATGTGTCTAGCAGCATGTTAAATAAACCAAGGGTGCAAAAGCTGCACACAAGAGAGGTCTTGACCTCTCTCTTGCGTTCGTGTTTGCACACCTTGTCTCTTTAACGTAAATATGTGTCATCCAGCTTGACTGTTCTTTCAGCGACATGCTTCTATTCAGCAATGAAAGGAGTTGCCTGGCAGCCTTCATTTCACTACTTTTGCCAAGTGCGGATTCCGGTAAACTTAGCCTGAACAATAGAAGCACATGCTATGGCAGCTCAATAATGAACGTGGCTGTAAAACACCATTCAGACATTGAACTAACTTTCCTCTTAGCACCAAGAAAAGCACATTATGCATCCGCTACATCATGCTGTAGAACTCCTCTGGGACAGCAGCACTCAACTAAGACACCCCATATGCTATTGTTCAGTTGCCATAATTCAAGTGTACCACTTTCTAATGTTCTAAGGCCTGCTGGTTATCGACACTTGTCAGACTTTCATTCCCTCTAAAGTATTTTATGCCATGTTATTGTACAGCATGGAGAACTACGTGCGCGAGGAACTGGCATTGGTGCTGGCCCTTGGCTCCAAGCGTGCCAGTGTTGAGAATGGTGCTGACGCCCTGAACGATATTCTCCAACAGTCGACGCAGATGGTGGCATCTGGAGACCAACACCTGGTCAGTGAGCTTCTTTCTCTTGCATGTATTGACTGGCTTTATGCAAGCTAATTTGTAAACACACTTCTGCAACACTCACAGTCATGCCATCGTGGTCTACTTTAAAACGGTGAAGGAAGGCAAAAATGATCACGTCATTTGTGCAGTCGAGTGAGTGCTATCGCGTACTGGGACGCAACACATCTTGCAGAAATTCTCGAATAGTGTGCTTCTCACAGTTTATACACATAACCATATTTGAACCCCAAATACCATGTCAGGTGTGTTGAGGAAAGGATAAGCCGCCATCCCCTTGGGGAAGTTCACCGTCGACCTTTTCTTTGCACTACACTGATCTCTGATACTAATGATGATAGTGGCAGTCGTCGTCTACACAATATTCAACAAGGTGCATGTAAAGCAGGGTTTAAATGGTTTATTCAAAAGCTTCTGGCAAGTCCTTGCAAAAAAAAAAAGACTGTAACTTGGTATAAGGTTCTTATGCCCTCGCATTTGACAAAAAGCAACTGCGAAGTGATTGAAGGAGCAGGAAAAATTGGGGTGCACTATTAGTGTGGCAATTTACCACGCAACACTGCAAGTCGCATCTCTGTGTTAATGCAAAGTAATGCAGCCTTAACTACATATTAACCAAAAGCAATTGGTTTGGTACTTTCTTCGACATGTATGCTTGGAGATCTTGTCGTGACATGCAAGTAAAACATGAATTCAAAGGTTCATATTATACTAACCTGTCATGTAAATCAACTCGAAAAGCAATCTTGAAACTGCCTTCATGCCTGTGGAGTCTACAAAAACTTACAATGGTGTAATATTTTTCAGACATCACCATGCGATTTTATGCAAAACTCCTTTGTAATGTCCAGACCTTCTGGAACAGCACAATTCTTGCAAAGGTTCTTGCAAAAATTTGTAGAAAATCTGTTGCATTGAAAAATTCAGCAGTTTAAGCTTGCTGTGCTTGGACACATAAACGCTGCCTTTGTACATTTCGAAAGATTTGGTCATTGCCTAGAAATTTCAAGATGAAAAGGCACAATGAACTTTATTAACAATGTAAACACATTTAAAGCTACAAGCATAACTTGGCAACTTAAAGAACTCCTCACACCAAATTTAGAAACTCAAGATGCTTGTGTTGTTTGAGAGTCCTGTGTGTGGGGGCACTGCCGACCGATTAATATTATTAGTGACGAGTGTTGCCTATGAGATATTTGAATTTGCTTTAATAGTAAGGGTGAGTGTTCACCCCGCAGGGGCGCCTGCGCAAGTAGGCGTTTGGTGTGTAGCGACACCACGGACCCGAGCTAACGGGGGAGTTTCGGCTCCCTCCCACGCCTAGCCGTGCGTGGCTTTGCCGTGTCCAGGGAAAAGGGGATCCTGGGGGTTGAGCCGACGCTGGGTGATTGGACTTTTAAGGCCCCCCGGCAGAGGCAACACACCCCTTTGGCCCCGGCTTCACGTAGACGGCACCCCTGGGCTGACCCACCCAGGGGAAATCGGCAGTCGCCTTTTCCTATCTCTCTCTACCTACATCTTCGTCTTTATCTCTCACTATCTATCTGTCCTGTCTTCTACCTTCTGTTTACTTCCAAATTTCCTGGCGGCAAGGGTTAACCTTGTGTAGTTACCCAAACTTGGGTAGTTATATCTGGTTATAGCGGCGATGTATGACTGGCGCCTTCAAGTGTTCTACCTTGTAGCGTCCCCCTGTTGGGCTCGGTGGTGGGTGGTCACCATCGCCGCCGAACATGAAGTTCACCACATGGCAAAATCTTTCCCTCCCCCTCAATGATCGGTCCCTGAAAAGGAACCACACCGACGAAAGCTCCAAACGAATCGGAAGCGATTGTGAGCACTTCCCACGCTTCCTAGTCATACACTCTCTGGCAGATAACGTCTCTGTTGCAGGACTGTCGGTTTTCCTGATAGCTAAAACCCTTGCTAACTTAATAGGCAAAAAGTACGACGCAAAGAAACTGTCATCCGCTGATCTTCTTGTTGAAGTAAGCCAGAAAGAGCATGCAAACACTCTCCTTAAACAGAAGCAGTTTGCCCACCTGAATGTGTCTATCACCCCCCATCGCAGCCTTAACACTGTCCAAGGCGTCATTTCACAACGTGATCTGATGCGAGAAACTGAAGCTGACCTCCTTGAAGGCTTTCGAGAGCAAGGCGTAGTCGCCATCCGCCGGATAACCATCAGGCGAAACAATGAAGAAGTGGTGACGCCTCATATAGTACTTACATTCAACCGCTCCACTCTGCCAGAATCCGTGAAAGCTGCGTTCCTTCACTGCAAGGTCCGCCCCTACATACCCAACCCTAGAAGGTGCTACAAATGCCAGAAATATGGACATGGGTCGAATACCTGTCGCGGAAAACAAACATGTGCAAAATGTGCTGATCATGAGCACCCAACAGAGAGCTGTACTTCCACGCAAACAGAGTGCCCTAACTGTCACGGGCCGCACGCAGCGTACTCGCGGACATGTGAAATTTTCAAAAAGGAAAAGGAAATCATCCAGATTAAAGTAATGGAAAACATAACATTCTCTGAAGCCCGGAAGAAGGTGTCACTCTTCTCCGGAAGAACGTATGCTGACGCAGCGCGCCGGGGGGCCGGGCGGCGTCTAGTGACGGTGGGCACGCAATACAGCTTTGCTGATGCGTGCACATCTCTGCCCCCCACCAAGCAGCCACAGGCTGCACCAACCTTTCACGTCCCGGAGGTCGAACTTCATCAGACCCCAGGGACCACACAGACAACTGAGACACCTGTCTCTTCTGACAAACCTCCATTAGCTTCTAAGGGTCCACCGGAGGCAATGGAAGTGACACCAGGATCCTCAGCGTCTAAGATGCTGACGGAATCCTCCCAAGTGAGGCGGGGCTCCATAGATCGCCTCAGAGGGAAAAGACACCCGCCAGTTAAGCCTCCTAATAAAGGCAGCGAAGTGTGAATAAGTCACGCTCTTTTCCTCATTCATAAAAATGGCTGCCGAAAATATTATCCAATGGAATTGCCGAGGCTTACTTAAGAACTTAGACGACATCTATGAAATATTTGCACAACACCAACCAAACATACTTTGCTTACAGGAAACACACCTAAAACCTACACACACTAGCCTCTTGAAAAGATATGTGGTATACCGAAAGGACAGAAAGGGCACTTCCCATTCATCTGGTGGTGTTGCTATCGTGGTGCAGAAACCAGTTCCGTCTCAAAGCCTCACTCTGGTTACTGACTTAGAAGCAGTGGCAATACGAACCCTAATTTTTGGACGAGTAACAACCGTGTGTTCACTCTACATCCCTCCAGACCACCAACTCTCTACTAAAGAATTTGAAACGCTCATCGACCAGCTTCCGCATCCATTTCTGTTGGTTGGAGATTTTAACGCGCACCACCCTTTATGGGGATGTAGAAGAACGGATTCTCGAGGCTCCTTAATCGAAAACTTTCTGTTGTCCTCCGGCTCCTGTATATTTAATAAAAAAGAGCTAACATACTCTAACGCAGCGCACTACTCATACACAGCAATAGATCTTGCTATCGGATCTCCTTCACTCTTGGCAACCACTGAATAGGCTGTAATTCATAACCTCTATGGAAGTGATCATTTTTCTGTTTGTCTAAAATACAAAGGAAATACGAGTACAATGACTGTGAATGTAACCAGGTTTCGAGAACAGGGTGCGAACTGGACGAAATTCCGAAAACTCTCAAAACTATCGCGCTCATCAATTGAAACCCTAGGCATCGATGAATCTGAAGCGTTGGTCACACTACACATTGTACAGGCCGCAGAGCAATCCATCCCACATACATCTAACAATACACGGAACAAAAGACGACCTTGGTGGAACTCTGACTGCAAAAATGCTCGTGACAATCAAAACAAAGCATGGTCGAAATTCCGCAGGTATCCTACAGTCGAAAACTTGGTGAATTTTAAGCGTGCAAAAGCAAACGGTAGACGTGTCCGACGAGAATCTAAACGACAGAGCTGGCAATCCTTCCTCTCATCCGTGAACTCTTACACTGACACACATAAGGTCTATAACAGAGTAAGAGCACTCCAAGGGCACAGCACTCATTCGATGCCCCTTGTTAGTACTGCTGGTGATACACTTGAACACCAGGCAGATGCCTCAGGCCAACACTTCGAGTATATTTTCAGCTCAGCACATTATACAGACTCCTTTAGGCGATACAAACTTGCCGAGGAACGTAAACCTATTCGTGATGACAGGCCATCGGCGGGAGGGTACAATGCCCCCTTTACTATAGGTGAACTAAAGGCAGCACTGGCAAAGTGCGGCAGCTCAGCAGCTGGCTCGGACAGGATTACTTACGGCATGCTGAAACACCTACACGAAGAAACGCTTGACGTCATCCTCATTCTTTTCAACAGTGTATGGTCCTCTGGGCGTCTGCCCATGACCTGGAAAAAGGCAGTTATCATACCCATCCTTAAACAAGGAAAAGAAGCCACACTTGCTGCTAGTTACAGGCCTATAGCGCTGACCAGCTGTTTGGGCAAGGTGTTCGAAAAAATGGTGAATCGCCGCCTTATGTATTACCTTGAATACAATGGCCTCCTTGATCGTCATCAAGCTGGATTCAGGTCTGGCCGGTCGACAACTGACCAACTGGTAGCATTTGAATCCTATGTCAGGGATGCCTTCATTCATAAACAGCACTGCCTATCTGTATTTTTCGACTTAGAGAAAGCTTACGACACGACATGGCGTTATGGCATTCTCCGTGACCTGCGATCTTTTGGAGTGTCAGGAAACATGCTGAATACTATTGAAAGCTACCTTTCTGACCGTACATTTGTGGTTCGTGTTGGTAATGCCTTATCGAAGTGGTTTACGCAAGAAAATGGCGTCCCCCAGGGTGGTGTTCCTAGCTGCACACTATTCATCGTAAAAATGAACTCCATAAGCACCATTATGCCTAGAACAATCTCCTACTCTGTATATGTGGATGACATTCAGATCAGCTTCAAATCATGCAACCTAGCCACATGTGAACGTCAGATTCAGTTGGCAGTAAACAAGCTGTCAAGCTGGGCAGACAAAAATGGGTTTAAGTTTAACTGTGACAAGACTGTTTGCATACTCTTCTCAAAACTACGTGGCATAAGGCCACCCCCCAATATTTCAATTAACAGACAAACCATAACTACCAAAAAAGATCACAAATTTTCAGGTGTTGTGGTTGATGAAAAGCTCAGCTTTGTTGCACATATCAAACAGCTACGACTTAAATGCTTGAAAGCCTTAAACCTGCTCAAGATTCTTTCACATCAGTCATGGGGCACAGACCGTGACTGTCTGCTGAACCTTCTCAACAGTGTAGTGCTATCACGTATCGATTACGGCTCGGTGGTTTACGAGTCAGCTTCAAGATCTGCACTGAAGATGCTTGACCCAGTGCACCATCTTGGGCTTCGGCTGGCCAGCGGTGCTTTCCGGACCAGCCCAACAGCCAGCCTGTATGTTGAGACAGACCGGTGGTCACTAGAACGGCGACGTCAGTTTACAAGTGTCACGTATGCCACCAAGGTGCTTTCCCATATCGACCACCCAGCTCGTGCGCTATTGCAGGATACATCGAACGCCCCCCTGTTTTTGAGGCGACCATCAGCTACGCCACCGTATCCCCTCAGAGTGGCCTCACACCTTGGAAATATGCACATACCGGTCTCCAGTCTTCAACTAACCTCTCACAAGGACACTGTTGTGCCATGGAAATGCAGGCTATCGATTGTGACTTGTCATTCCTAGAGGTAGGAAAAAATGGCCACCCAGTCGCGATCGATCAACACTTCAAGTACCTGCAGGCCAAATACAGGTGTGCTGAATATTATACTGATGCCTCCAAGTCCTCCGCAGTCGCATGTGCGGCACACGGTCCCGCTTTCTCTGAATCTAGAACAATGAACGAACATACCAGTATATTTACCGCAGAATGCTATGGCATACTTTTAGCTGTAACGCACATTTTAAAGGAGAAAGAGCCAGCCTCGATCATATACACAGATTCTCTCAGTGCTGTGACTGCGCTGTCCTCCACTAAGATACCCAAAAACCCAGTTACTAATACACTTCGAAAATGCATCATGTCAGCCTGCAAATCTAAGCTCAAAATCACGCTATGCTGGATTCCGGGACACTGCAACATTGCTGGCAATGAGATAGCGGACAAACTTGCGAAGTCAGCAGCACTCCGCCCATCAGTTGACGTAAACACCATCCCGTATGAGGACCTGAGGCCACTCATCATATCCCAAATGCGTAGACAATGGCAAGAAGAATGGAATGCAGCAAAAGCAAACAAACTGCACTTAGTAAAGCCAAGAATAGGAAGATATCTGACTGAAAAACGTAACAGGCACCAAGAGGTTGCACTGTGCAGACTCAGGATCGGTCATACACATGCAACACACTCGCACCTTTTAAAGAATTCTCCAGCACCACATTGTGCAAAATGTGGTGATGAGCTGTCTGTTGTTCACGTTCTAATTACCTGTCCGTACCTCGAACCAGAAAGACTGTGTCACTTTTCAAAGCTGTACAAATGTCACATTCCGCCTCATCCACAATTTTTTCTTGGAGACGATCCCTTGTTTCCCCCAAAAGTAGTCTTAAAGTTTTTAGCTAGTGTAGGCTTCCTACATTCCATAACATATTCTCACTAATCTCAGCCTCCTCTCAATCCTGAGGGAACCGCTGAGACTTTTTTATCAAATGTCATGCAGCACGCACTCCTTGTCTTGACAAGGACTGTTGACGACACGGCATGACTTTGTAAAACCCATAAGCGTAGCCCGTTTTAAACCCATCACACATAGTCACTACAACTAAGTTTAAGTTCTATACACTACTCTTTTACTCTTGCCACCCTGAGTAGACTTTTTATAATCAAATCGACCAAAAACCGTGTGTTTGGCGCTCTTTGGCCTGAGTTGCCCTTGCGCCACTAAAATCTACCATCATCATCAAGGGTGAGTGTTCATTTGAATTGTCGGCACCCATTGACATCTTCCCTGGTTCGACTTAGGCTGAGGGCCCGTGTGACATTCCACGAGTAAGGCAAGTATTGTCTAGGTCAGAGAACAGTTGGGAGGTGTGCACAATAATAACCCAAATGGCACCTGGGGAGGACTATTGTTTGTCACTCCTCTCGCTCTGTTGTCAGACTGCTCTTAAAGTGGTTTTGGCTGCTTATACTGGGAATGATTTTATTTTTTTAAAGACGATAGGCTTTCTTGGGGACCTTCAACGGAAAAATTTTGGTCTGCCTGCCTTTTTGTCTGTCTGTACATTTGTCTGTTTGTCCGCCCTAATGATACCTCAAACGGCCAAATCCATTCGCAGCCCCCATCAATATTGCTCAAGATTCAGCGTTCATAGTTGTGCGATTGTCAATTAAAAAAGCAAATAGTGCGCATATCTGAGGCGCCATAACAACACGTCTATGATATGTATGTCTGCCTTTATACGAGAAGAGGCACACACAAGTAACTCTAAGGACTGTAGCGTTTATCGCGCTGCGCTGACAGTGCAACGCGATTTCCAACGCTTTGCTACGACGACACGGTCATGGCACCTGTCCGTCGCTTTGCATTCTACACCTTATCACCTCCGAGACTGGCGTGCATCTTTCTCCGAGGTTGTGCACGCCTTCGTTTTCGAAGATAACGGCCAGGTGGTGCTCGGGCCTAATGTGCCTAGATGCGCTCGTTCGCCTTTGCTACACGCTCGAGGCACTCTAACGCTGTGCCTTCAGAATACCATTCACCGATTTTCTTGCGCAGAAGATCAAATAAACGTTTCGTTCATTCTCTCCAGATGCAAGACTATCGTCTTTCGACGACATTTACAGTGTAACATGTAGATTCGGGCTAATTTTTTTTCTGAAGGGGACACACTCAAAGCACTTGCATCGTTTCATTTTTCGCCCCGCCGCGGTGGTCTAGTGGCTAAGGTACTCGGCTGCTGACTCGCAGGTCGCGGGTTCGAATCCCGGCTGCGGCGGCTGCATTTCCGATGGAGGCGGAAATGTTGTAGGCCCGTGTGCTCAGATTTGGGTGCACATTAAAGAACCCCAGGTGGTCGAAATTTCCGGAGCCCTCCACTACGGCGTCTCTCATAATCATATGGTGGTTTCGGGACGTTAAACCCCACATATCAATCAAATCAATCATCGTTTCATTTTTCACTGCCCACAGGTCTCCTGATTTGAAAACGATGCATTCAGCGTCACTGAAGCTTTGAGCACATATGGTCTCAGGCCCTCCCCCACTGCAGGGCACTTGTTTTTAATCGTATTTAGGCAGGCTTTTTGAACTGATGCAAAATTGTTCTGAATTAATGATGCTAGCATTAATTATACAATGAATTAGAGCATCTATGATTCAATTTCAGGGTTACCAGATGCAAGGCTGCTAATTACTGTGAAAAAGTCGCAGACAAAACGTTCATCGCCAGGGGTCCTTTCATGTAGTAGGCATCATTTCCATAGCCGAGTGCTTCTACTGCCACAGTTCACTTTGATAATTTTTAGTAGGAAGCTGTGCAGCCAGTACAATCAGAAATACTACATCACTTCTGGTGTGCAGCCAAGCTTTAAAATACTGTTCATTTCTTTCTTTTTTTTTCAGCAATCTCTTGGGTGTTCTCTGCTAAGTGCTCTGTTGGTTGAGTTCTCAAGTTCCACACGAGCAACAGATGTTGGCCTCACGTGGGAAGTTCATCTCAAAGCCAAGAAGTCGTTTGAAGTAAGTATTCAGCTTGTTAGTTTTTGATGTGTGCGATTACGGTACATAGCCTTTACAATAGCGCTCCCATACAACATACTTCAGGATATAACAGATTGCACTCAAATTTCAGTGTGTTCTACATATTCTGTGCTTGCAAAATGTTTTGCATATCCCCCTTTCAGAACTTGGCTATGTGCCCCAGAACTTGCTTTTATTGTGATAGCAATCATATGGACAGTCTTGGCTGGTTTTTAATATTGCCAACGGTGCCTTCATGCGCCGTATATGTATACGTATCTATTGTACCGGTGCAGATCGGCGCTAGCTCTGTGCCAGGGAGAGAAAAGACGACGAAGTTCATGTGTCGCGCTCTCGGCCTCCTGTTTTCTGTGCTGCAGCTGTCTTGCTTGCCCTGGCGAGTTTCTTGTTGAAACTCCTCTGAAGAACACGCTTGTTACACTATATACAGTGAAACCCTGTCAATTCGTACTTCACGGGACCGGAGAGAATGTTCGAATTAACCGAGAGTACAAATTATTGTGAGTACGAAGAAAAAACTTGAAAAAGGTCTCCTTCACCATTAGACTTTTTTTTCTTAAAAAGTCTGTGATCGCGGTTTCCTTCACGGACGCAATGCGCGACGAAGTCACAATTTTGCGAAGTTCCTGCAGGTGTCTTAGTCCACGCGCACTGTCCGAGGAAAGCATGCATATGTCCTCCAAAACAGCTAACGCATGCGCAGCCTCCGTGATAGTGTGGCGTGTACGCTCGTCAGCATCACTTGCGCTCTTGTCAGCCGATTCCCCTTCGCCGTCCAAGACTTTGGCGACGATATCGCTGTCGGTCACTGTGTCGGCCACGGCAACATCGTGGTCAATTGCGAAGTAATCGCCCAGGCACATCAGCTGCCATGATGCTCACATAGCAGCCGTCTTGCTCTTCGCCGGTTTCCTCATCGGCCACCACCCCCAAATCAGCAGCAACGTGCACGAAGCCATGCTTAAAGCAGTTTGCGACTACTGCAGGCGGTGTGTTGTTCCACACGTATGTCAGCATGTGGATTGCGCTTAGCAGGCTTACTTCGTACTGCTTGCCTGGCTTCATGCAGAGCAACATCCGCTCGAGTACCAGCCGTCGATAGCGGCTTTTCACGAACTGTATGATTCCTTGGTCTATCGGCAGCAGGGAAGCCGCTGCCTTTGGAGGCAGGAATAGCAGTTCAATGTTCTCGAGCTCGAACACCTTTGTGCGCGCACTACAGTTGTCTAGCACGAACAACACCTTCTGAAGGAATTGGAAGGTGTTCACATTGAACTTTTTCATCACTTCTTTTCGAGATGCTCCCGCTTGCAATGGCTTTAATATTTTCACCTTCGCAGCCAAATCCTTTGCTTCGTACTTCGCCCTCTTCACTGCGGGAATCGGGGCCACAGCACACGGAGGGCAAGTCATCCCGGCGTCGCGCGCGCGAAGTAGACAATACAAACACACACAAAAAACACACGGTGATAAAAACGAAATAAAAACCGGCGAAATTTTCAAAAAACAGCCAACAGTAAGACTGCAGATGGCACTGATCACGTACAGATAAATAAAGCACTCTAGAGGTGAGCACCGTCACGCAAACCTGTTCAGCGTGCAAGAGAAAAGGAAAGGCAAATTTTGTAGGTTGCCCATTGCTGATAACAGTAGCAATGCACTGCCTTTAATTTTGGTTGTTTAAACCACCATGTGGTTTTTTTTTTCTTTTGTTGGTGCCTCCGAGTTGTACTACCCATGGACAAAGTTCTGAATCTCAAAGGCCTCAATCCGATCCCAAAGTTGTTTAGGGGCGCCGTCGATTTGGCCGGCAGAATCCGCTGCTGCTTCCCCGTCGTGATTTGACCGCTGTCGGACGTTTGAATTAACTGAAACGTGGCCGAATTTGTCCGAATTAATGAGAGTTTTCAGTCATAGAACAATGTACATTTTGTACGGGACCAGACGCCGTGGCCAAATTAACCGAAATTCTAAATTAACAGGTGTTGAATTAACGATATTTTACTGTATGGAAAAACTCAAAGAAAAAAAGCCACCCGCGCTTGGCACCTAGCTCGTCACGGTGCGCTAACGCGCACTTATCCCCCACGCGTACACGTGGGAGAGTGGGGGAGCGGGAGGTTAGGTACTTGTGCACTCGCGCTTATCCTTCGGTTGGTAGAATCGTGTGCCTTGGCTTTTCACCAGAATAATTGCATTAGTAGTTGCGTGGGCCACAAAGGTCAACTTCGCTCGCTGAGCAGGCCTCGTTTGCAACAAGAGCGCACTTTTCAAACACAGCGAAGTAACAACTGGGACACTCGTTAGTTCGCACTGTGCCTGTGATTACGTTTGGTGCATTGTTTTTGTTTAAACAGCGTGTTAAACGTCGAGTTGTAAACATTGTTAGCTCTGGTCCTGTGTGTGTTTTTATGCGTCATTTGTACGTGAGCAGCATGCTGCATGTTTCGATCTGCTAGCCGTTCTCAACGTTACATTCCTAGTTATTGCTATCACATTCATCAGTTATTGCTTTGCCCTTGCGGCAAAACTGTGGCTCTTTTTTATTCTTGTTTACTTTCAATGCATTTAAATTTTTTTTTGCTGTGCTAGCTTCTTTATTCCAATAATTATGCACTAAATACCTAGCAGTACTGGTATTTGCTAAGGTCACAATTTTCTGTGACCTTACTGTTGCAGAGAACAGACTTTGGATTTAGCAGTCCGTGCTTTTTGGATCGTCATGGTTCGTTGTAGTGAGCATTCGTACTGTACAGCCCGGTTTCAGTAGATAGATTGGATTGGATTGGATAAACTTTTATTTGTTCTGTAGATAGAGGGCTAGTTATAATGTTTTGTGCCGCTGAACCCAGGCCAACCACCTGCGAAGGGTGTTCCAGTTCTGCCAACAGGGCCTTCGAGAAGCAGCCAGTCGCCTGGGAAATGGTCCTGTGCGACCTGAAGATCGCAACCTGCTGCGTCGCCTGCTCCTACTGTCAGAGCAGCTCTTATCCTGGAACTTTCAGTTCTCCATGCTGTGTATCCTTTGATTTAACTTGTAATGACTGGCCATAAGTGACTTAGATATTTGCAAGGGTTAGAATTTTATTTCTGTGAAGCTGGCACTGCAATATGAAAGGAACATGTAAATTTGAAAGCTTTAAGGATAGGCTAATAAAGGTATGTTATCAGCATTCATGATTAGGGGATTTTAGGGATGATATTCTTTTGTAGGTTTCGTGTAAGACTGTAAAATCACAGAAGGAAGAACTGCAAAACATTGCAAATGCTATGAGTGTTGCCATATTCTTTGTATGCGGAAAACTGGTAACATCTTTCGTCGAGAGGGCGAATGCCATAACCGACATTTTGTTTTTGCTTAATGAAAAGCACACAAGTGTCATCTCGATCAAATGTTCCTGCTGTCAAAGTAATGTAAATGCCCTTACTGCACTGCTGTTACGATGTAGAATGACCTATTTTTGTTCCTTCATGTTTCTGCACTAAAGAAAAAAAAACGCTAGCATGAATAGTCTCTACTTACGCTATTTTTGTTCCTCCATCTTTCTGCTCTAAAGAAAAAAAAGCACTAGCATCAATAGTCTCTACTTATGCTACTGTTACTTGGGGAATATCTGCACACCTTTAAAGTTCTCTCATCTCGGAAGCATTCTTCCGAAAATGGTGGTAGAACATGTATTAATTAGTAGTGAGAGAATCGAAAGACCAAGCTACGGGCAGCAAAATATACATCAAAGACCCACCCACTTTAGAAACTTCCAAGATGCTTGTTTGAAATCTTGTACTGTGTATGGCAAACTGGTGGCGGTGGGGAGGAATGATGCAGAAGATATTTTGCACCAGTTAAATCATGTTATTCACTATGAGAGACCATTTTTTTCCCCTTGACTAAATGGCATTCAGTGCCCCGAAAGCTTGTAGGTATATTTGAGGCACAGCAGACTCCGACACTGCGGCCTGGCCAAGACTGGAGAGGGGCATTTGATGAAACACCTCAGCTGTTACTGCAGGTAAGGTGTGCTGTCGCGTGGTACAATACTTTTAGTGCATTGGAATGAAGAGAAACTTGTAACTTGCAAATATTATGGGATACACATCAACATTGCCAATGTGTAAAACAAGGCAGTGTGACCAGCAAGAACAGGGTAGTAATACATTTTTTAATATAACTTCATGTGAATCGGAAAAATGGTAACATGACTCTAGTATAAAGCGTGCACGTTGTGCACCTCTGTCGCACGTTCTCTCATCATAATCTGCGGCCAGCCGAAGGGCTTGACAAGCCAAGATGGCTGGTCACTTTTTGTGCGCCACCTGTCTGTACTCCCACTGCTGGCAATCAAACTGCTATCTCAACCTCTTGAGACACAGCGAAGCAAGAGGCAACACGATGCAACTTTTCGTAAAAGTTTATCTTCGAAAGCAAAATCTTTGTAATTAATCACTCCACAGTTGCTGCAGCCTGAATCCGATTTTTCAGCTTAATTTCATGGAGCTGCTGGGTTTCTCATATTTGCTTGTGGCAGCATCATCCGCTTATCTATACAGTAACGAGAACCAGTATGCCGTTTACTGTTATATGGAGGTTTAGTGGATAAATTCTATGCATATTTTCTGGGGGGCAGACATTTGTTCCGTTTTCACAGAGCAGGATGCCTGTTTGGCCGAGTCTTTACCAAAGAATCTTCCAGTGCTTACGAAGGACAAGTGCAGACTATAGAAGCCATGTTATGTCTTTTGTCTGCACCCAATCTTGAGAAACAAAGTGCTTTTAGCAATTTTTCATTAAGTGCAGTTGAACGTGGTTATAAGAGACCTGCACTGGGAAGTAGTTCTTGCTTCCTCATGTGGAAAATCTCTTACAAGTGGAATATGATGTCATTTCCTGGTCAACCCTTGTTTCAATGTCGGCACACTGGTGTCTCTAACATCTAGTTGCCCGTTACATCAATGCCTTTCACAAAGGAGTTCAAATGTGTTCTTGCTTTGGACAGGGTACTCTCCAGTTGCTAGTGTTGCAAGTCTGTAGCTGAGACAGGTGACTAAAGTGAAATGTGATGGATAAACTGATTGCAGCTCTACGGTGCCTTGAGCCAAGATGGAGAGCTGGCACACGTGGCACTCCAGTGCCTGCTGCAGTTGGCCACCCTGAGCCACAGCGGAGAGCGACAACAGCGGAACACCCACCTCAGGCGCTTCATCCAGGGCGGACTGCTCGAACTGATGGCCATCAGGCCTCCCCGCGCCGGCATAGCTCAATTGCTGGCCCGCCTCGCACTCTTCCATCCACCTAACCTGCTGTCCGCAGAGATGCACATCCCATACCTCGAGCGCCTCTGTGACCTGGCCTGCTGCGTGCTCCAGTCGCCGGTCAGTCTCGTCATAATCCCTTGGTCGCTCACATCACCCAACAACTTTTAGTGCCTAATGTAGACCAGGCTGTATGATATAGCCAGGGACTTGTGAGTTCCTGTGGAAAGAAGGTAGACACTGGTTGTGTTCACTGATTGAATCAGCAGTAGCTCGTGGTACGAGAATGCAGATTCCATTTCAGTTTGTATAATTTATTTTATCCTCAATTGCACAAAACTTTACAAAGGGGAGTGGAGCACAAAAAAACAAAGGTGAACAAAATAACATCATATAATAACAACCACAATGTAGACAGTTAAACCTGCTTATAGCGAACCTCCATATAATGCATTCCTCAATATAACGAACTTTTTCTATTCCCCGCCATTACTCCATAGAAGCACATGTATTTGCGACCTCTATGTTAGAAAGTAACTGCGGGAGACACCCTTGATATAACGAAGTTTTGCCACGGACAATCTATGAATTTTGTTCCGATTTTGTCATTTTGGCACGAGCATGCATCTTCCACGGTTGCCCCGCTGGTAACGAAGCGTGAAACGCGGCGTGCATGGCGCGCTCGTGGCGCCTGTGACTTCCAGGGTAGAGAGAACGCTCAATTGCGCGCGGGTGTGCGCAAGACAGGCAGGCAAGCCTGCACCCATCGAGCCGATGTTGCCACCGTTCTTGTCGCCGCGGGCGGAGGTGCCCTCGCCCTCTCTCCAAACGAACAAAACAAAAGAGAGGAAAAGAAAGCTACTTTTAGCATCACATATGTGGGGCGTCGCTGCATATGGAGGGCGCTTTACTGAATAGTTTTCCACAGTATCCGTGACGCTCGCTCGTAGTTTTCGTCGCCATGTGCGCGTGCATTGGTTTCACTGCTTGCGCACGATATGGCCGCCGCCGACGTTCAGCTTTACTTTTTCTTATTTTTGAAATGGGGACTACTGTGTCTCCATCGAGGGGATGTCAGATTAGGCGCTGAGGGAAACACTCTGGCACCATGGTGACAATGACGACTCTTCGGAAGTCGACTCGTCATGCGCTTCCGTCTTGTGCCGCGCCGCGAGTTTGAAGGACCGTAGCCATCGTGATTAGCTCTGGCGACAACACAACGGCTTGTTGAATACAATGCAATAAGTGCGATAGTAACAAATTTTAATGTTAAATGAAGTAAAGCTCGCAGCCAAGTCTCTTGGATGCAATATTGCGGAACTCCTACAAAACGTTGGTGTAAGCAAATGCGGCCGCTCCAGGGTGAAATGCTCTTTTTGCGTTGAAAGCACACTGATGCTTTTTGTGATGGCAGCGCCTCTTTTTACCGTGCTATTCCTTTTACGTCGTAAGCAATTTGGAATTAAGTAGGTCTGGATAATAATACACATAGTACAGTGAACCCCCAATAAACGAAACTCGGTTAAACGAAAAAGCCGCATAGACGAAACTATCTAGGCTTATTTGGTTGGTCTCCTATACATTTAAGGATAAAAATTTTCGGTTAATCGGAACATTTTTTTTCCGCTTACATCGGTTAAATGAAACTAAAACGGGCAAAATCCATGAACGGCGGAAAATCCATGGCAGTTTAGTAACCTTAAGGGGGGGCGCGGCAAGTAAAGTGCCGATTTTGGTCAAAATATGCGATTTTCTGATTTATTTTTTTTCGTAATCTTCAGACCTTCAACTTCCTTGTTCTAAAATATTACAGCGAAACGTGCGCTACAAATCCCGCAAATAGTGTTTTTGCCGAGGCTAGTCGCCGAAAAGTGCGAAAAAAAAGCCCCTGAAACGGTGTTGTTCACGCCGCACAAACGCGCCAAGTTGTTGACCGTGGGCCGCCATTTTGGTAGCTTTGGAAAGAGGAGAAAGCCGGCTTCCCGATGGTCGCGGTCTCGTATTTCGCCGAGTGAAAATAAAAGCGCGAGGAGCAAGTAAAAAAACGAAAACGAAGAACGGCAATTGGCTGCGCGGGTCACGTGGTAGCAGGCGCGACCTCTTACTGGTCAAAGCTGCGCCGCGCACCTTGGCAACCTTGGAAGCGCGAGCGCATCTGCGGCCGCCGAGTCGAGAATCATCCGGCGTGCGCTTCGTTTTTTGCCAGTTGGCTGTTTTTGTGATAGTTCGCGTGCTTTTTTTACCAAGCTTTGTTTACATCGGTGGTCTCTTCTGAGTGCTTGCTCATACTGCGGTGCTATGTTGTCGCAAAAAAAGTTCCGGAGCGTCCACAAGCACGGCAAGCGTCGGAAAGCTTGGAACAAAGGGCAGACGACTGCGGCTGCCGTCCCAGTCGCAGTTCCGGACGGAGCATGCTCTTCAAGCGTCACGGAGCCTCTACTCAGACCCTTCGCTGATTGTTGTGAGGCCGAGAGTGTGGAAGGTGCCACATCGTCGTATGTCAGACCGCCGGATGCCGTCGACCGTGATGGACGCTCTCGCGAACCCGATTGCGGTGGCACCGCGTCGGCAGCCGTTGCAACTCCGGGCGTGCGCGCGTCGAACATTCTATCGCGAGTTTTGGCCCAGATTCCGAGCAGTGAAGAAATCGCGCAGCGGGCGCAGACAAGGCGGGATGTTTTGGATGCCGTAGCATCGAAATCCGCTTCAAAGCGGAAGCTCGAGCTTCTGAACGAAGGCTGCGACGAAAATGACGGCGGTAAGGACTCCACATTCTTCATTGTAAATAAGAAGATGCTGAACGGTCTGCTTTCGTCAGTAAAGTGCAACAAAAGCGACGAAGGGTCGATACGCCTCGAGACTACGCACTGCCTTGGACTCGCGGCGAGGATGGAACTTTTTTGTGACAATTGTGGCATAGTGAACAGTGCGTGGTCGTCCCCGAGGTGCTCCGGGCAACAAAAAACGAACCCCTTTGAGGTAAACGTGCGTGCTTTGAGGGCTGTGCAGTCAGTTGGCAGAAAACAATCTGCCATAAATGACATTTTTTCTGCGATGGACATTTCGCATCGAGCACTGCACCACAAGTCCTACCAGAGACTGCAAAGGAAGTACAGCCACCCTGCCACCACATCAGCTGCCACCCGCATTGAAGCAGAAAGTGCACAGAAGGTGCATGACATTTACAAGGACCTAGGAGGAGTGCCAGGCAACATTGACGTCATTTACGACGGCACGTGGATGACGAGGGGGCACAGAAGTCATATTGGCGTGGGCTGCTGTACACAGGCTTGGTCTTGGACCACTGTGTCCTGTCCAACTACTGCCAAGGCTGTGCTGTTGGTCCCAAGCCTGGTGACGACAACTATGAGGAGTGGCTTGAGAAACACAAGCCACAGTGCCAAAAGAACACCGATGCTAATGCAGGCCAAATGGAAGTAGAAGCAGCGAGGATCATGTTTGAAAGATCGTTTACCAAGTACAAGCTTCGATACATCAATGTGCTCTGCGACGGTGACAGCCGTACGTACCTTGCCCTCACGCAAGACAAGGTGTATGGCTACATGTTGATTAAGAAACAGGAGTGTGTGAACCATGTGAAAAAAAGAATGGGCACTTCCTTGCGCAACCTTCTTGATGAGCACAAATCCAAAGGCCGAGGACTGAGCATGGGTGGCAAAGGCCGGCTGACGCAGGGCCTTATAAAGAAGTTGACGAATTATTATGGCTGGGCCATTAAGAGCCACCCCAACGATGTTCCTGGCATGGAGAGGGCCATCATGGCCACTTATTACCATGTAACATCCACAGACCAGGATCCACACCACGACCTGTGCCCAAGTGGGACTGACTCCTGGTGCCCGCACAATCAGGCATTGGCCAAGGGAGAGCCGCTGCCGCCTCACAAACATAAACTGCCCCCTCACGTGCGAGTGGCACTGCTGCCAATCTACAAGCGCCTCTCGAACAAAGAGCTCCTTGAAAGGTGTGCGCAGGGAAAAACCCAGAACGCTGTGGAGAGTATGAACAGCCTCATTTGGTCACTCCAGTCCAAGAGCCAGTTCGCCTCCCTTCGAAGTGTGGAAAGTGCAGTTGCAGATGCAGTCTGCCGTTTCAATGGTGGCTGCAAGAGTGCGCTGCAAGAGATCACTGCTCAACTGGGCTTCAATCCAGGAGACTGCTCTTTGCGGCGAGCAGCCGAAAAGGATGCCAAAAGGGTGAAGAGGGCTCAAAAGACGCATTGTTCCACGACAAAGAAGCGCAAAACTGGGTTGCGCTCTACAGAGGCCAAGGCCACAGCATCTCAGGATTACTGCCCAGGAGGATTCTGAGTGTTTTAGGCATGTTGTGAACTTCCAAACAAGAGTGAACTTTCAAAGTCAGTTTTCTCAACTCTTGATTTTCGCCTATGTGCCTTCGCTAGAACATCTGTCATTTTTTAACAAAGACTGATAGAGTCGTTCCGTTTTTTGCACTAGGCTCAGGAGGCCTTTAGCAGTGCAATAAAGCTTTATCTCTCTTCTTACTCATAATTTAAAATTTTTAGAACACATTTTATAATTACTGCGATGTGTGCGCAAAACAACATCCATGTTTTGGAAATTTTATTTATGGTTACAAGAACTAGAAAAATCAACTAATAGCTTCTTTGCACAAGTTGATGCTTTGGGAACATAATAATATGAAAAAATAATTTCATTTAGCAATAATTATCTCTTTAAGTGCGAAGAGCATTAATTAGTATAATTATGCTTGTAACTCAAAAAGTACAAGAGGTATTTGAAAACGGTTTTCATATTTGGAATCCTCACAATCATCCACATACACACACCAAATTTCATCACGAACAGAACATTAATAAAAAAATTAGTTTTACTTGCCACGTCCCCCCTTAAAGCAAATGCCAAAGCTAGCCTAGTTAAGCCAATCCAGTGATTGCAGATGTTTGCTCACGCCAAGCAGCAATCGACGTCTCGTCTTGAACTTGAGGACAGCCTTGAGGAACCTATTGCTGAAGTTCATGATGAGAACCTGTGCTTAAGTGGTGATGAGATGGTGTGTGATCGCGAGCTCATTTCAGTGGCTCACAGTGCTGCAAGAGATTCTGTCATCCTGTTGCAGCGCTACTTTGGACACGATGGTGGCACAGAGTTTCTGCCCAGCCTTTCAGCAATTCACTCCTATTATGTGTGAAAAAGTGCTTGAACAAGGCTAAACATATTGCTATCACCTTCTTTTTTACAATTCGGCAATCTTGGCAACATCTTTCTTTCTAATCAACTATAGTAGTATTCTATATTTCAAAATGTTTTTGTTCAGTCAGCCTCAGTTGGTGTTTTTGAAATAAAGTCATATTTCATTCATTTTGTAGGCTTTGCTTAATTAAATGAAACTTCTCATAAATGGAACAAATTTTCTTGCCCCTTCGAGTTCCGTTGAAGAGGAGTCCACTGTACTCTAATTTTGAGGACTAGTATGCACGGCAGCATCAGACTCCGTGACCATGTTCAGCAAAGTGATGGACACCATATTTAAGGCTCTTCCGCTAGGCTGCGCAGCAAAACTATTTTTAATAATTTTAAGCATGATTTGAAAATGTAAACCCTAGCCACTACGCGAGAAGAATGCTGGACTATATTTCATGGTCTCTTCATTTCTACTACGATCTAATCGCATGTTCTCGCCAGTTGTCTGGCCCCGCCACGGTGGTCTAGTGGCTAAGGTACTCAGCTGCTGACCCGCAGGTCGCGGGATCGAATCCCTGCTGCGGCGGCTGCATTTCCAATGGAGGCGGAAATGCTGTAGGCCCGTGTGCTCAGATTTGAGTGCACGTGAAAGAACCCCAGTTGGTCAAAATTTTCGCAGCCCTCCACTACGGCGTCTCTCATAGTCATATGGTGGTTTTGGGACGTTAAACCCCACATATCAATCAATCAATCGCCAGTTGTCTGTCTCTTTATGGCACCAAGAAAATAGGTTTCATTTAGTAGATGTTCTATTTAGTGAGATATGAACAGGGGTGTAGAATTCGAGTATGAAACTGATCATATTAGTTGCAGTCCTTCAATTCAAGCAGAAATTTTGTTTAGAAGATTCCCGTTTACCAAGAGTCTATCATATTGGAGTGTTTTGTGCAGACTGACATAATGGCGCTGAGGCTCTGGCCCAGAATTTTTATGTAGTGACTGTACCTTCGTTTTCTCTTATACATTGTATCATACAAGATTAATAAAACTGATGCTTATAATTACAATGTTTTTGACAGCTTCAACTGATTCATTGCTTGCTTGCTGTGCGTCTACTGTGTGCCCTAAATTTATTGGCCATTTGGAAGTGGAGGGTCTAGGCACATTCTTACTGCTTGAACTGGAGGGGCACTTCAATCAATGCAAACACATGCAGGTTGGAGATGACGCTGAGCAGCAGCAGGAGGCACTTGACCACATTCTGGATGCGTGGGTCCCCTTGCTTCAGGAGCCGCAAACCTTTCCTGCAGAACCATTGAAGGTGGCCACCATGAGAGTCTTCGAGCTGTACCTGCGTAGCCGACTAGCAGCCCCTGATGGGACTCGGCCCCCGGTCCGTGTGTGATGCTTATTTTAGCATGTTCAGCTGGCAGTTTTTAATGTTGCTTTATACCCGGCACCATGAAGTTTCTTATGGCGCCACATTTCACATAGTAGAGTGAAATGTGGTGCCAATGTGTTCTGGGGTTTGTGCTTTATAGTGACGGTATATGTGCCGGCAAGACTTGTGTTGGCTGGCGTTGATCTTGGCTTGGGCTAGAAAGTGGATACTACGCAAATAGAGCTTCGGCAGCAAGGCTTATTCTGCAGCGTATTTAATGTAGTGATAGAGACGTATTGAAAAATAAAAAGCTTCTCTAAAGAAAAGCCTTTATAAAAAGATCTGTTTTACCCATGTTATATTATACACTCAAACCTCGTTATAACTTAATGGGATATTACAAAATAATGGATATAACAAAGTAAACGAAAGTCCACTTGAAAGCTCTATTGAGAACCATGCATTTGTTAAGGCGTTTATTAGTGCCTGTGTTTATTAGGCTTCACTACACATTTTAAACCTTGTTGTAACTAAGTAAAATTGACAGATAAATGGATATGACGAACTAAATTAGTCTATAAAATTGTCTATAAAAAAACGACTGTTTGGTGCAGGAATCTCAAGGTGTTGTCACCATCCGCATTTTCTTTCCGTGCATTTTCTCGCTTGCTAAGCGTTGTGTTGCCGTAAGAGTGGTGTCTTCGCAATTATAAAATCGTACTTTACGGGAAAAATCGTTTTGCTCTTTAGTGCCCCTTCAAGTAAGCAGTGAACCGTTGCTTGTCATGGCCAACAACCGAAAACATAAGACGTTACTGAGAAGCTTTTGATCTGTAGCACATTCCTCATGTACATTTACTGTGCATGCACAGATCAGTGATGAAGAGGAAGTGGCTGAAGAGGATGAGGATGATCGGGTCCGTTATCGTGACCAGCTTGCTGTGGTGGGCATGTTAGGCCGCCATGTCCTGCCGCACAGCTTGCCCCTGCTTTGCCGGTAAGACATGAATACAGTAGTACCTTTCCACCCTCTTTGTGCTATTTGCTAATGCTCAATCAGCTAGGGGTTGCTGCCAAAGCTTGTGGGGTCTCGGAAGTGGCGAGCACCATGCTCTTGGAGTTAACGGACACAGCAGACGCGGTTGGTACAAACCAAATCAAACACACACATTTATTTAACTGTTTTTTGATCGACGATATCGACAGCTGAATTATTATAACATCAGCTGTGATACACACGCTAGCACATCCTTACAGAATAGTAAACAACACTCAAGAACATAACAAACGAGGTGGTCGTTAATGTCTGACTCACCTTGTGGGCCCACCGCAGACAGCGTTGCTGTCCATGGCAGACTCACCACTGGAGACAACCGTTTGCGCCAACCGCCACCAGCCGACGAGACGTGTTAAACTCTCTCCACCGCCACCAATGCGTGCCTGCCGCCAGGGGTCACCACTGGTGCTAACGTTTTTCCAACCGTGAGGATGATGACAGTGGTGGTCAACTCTCGCGAACACAATGCCATCTACCTCCCAATAGCTGTGACCCCGAACAGCGGCTTTTGCGCGAGACACGTGCGTCACGTGGCGCAAACAACTTTACAGGGGGTGTCAGCACTCCCACAAGCTACACTAGTGAACCCTTGTGCTGTGATCGTTTCACTGTCGTTGGAATGATGGGCATGGATACATCAAATCTTCACCCTTACTGCTTCACATGTTCTTTCCAGTTGATTTGTGGCTCACCACATTCATAAACTTCTAAGTGGTTGCAGTTTTGTCGACGCTTCAAGGCACCAAGTTTTGTGAACTTACAAAGTCATTGGGAACTGTTGCAACCTAATGATGCAATATTTTGTTGAAAATTATTAGTTTGCAGTCAGAATATTGTTTGCAGCCAGTCCATCTTTACTGTCCTGCTTGCAACTCCGATATGGTTGTGCGGGATGGTTGTGCGAGTGGTTGCTTGAGCTCATTGCCATCACGTGGACGCATATAAAGTTTGGGACTTGTGCTTCATAGCACCACTTCAATTTAATGTTAGCTAGCGCCCCATTTGTTGTTCACCTTTGTAATGTCCAAAAAACTGCGATAGTGTGCTGTAGATGCTTGCCTGTTAGCAGTTCCTAGTAGTGAGATGCTTGTGTTTCCCAGGTGATGCAGTATTCTTATTTCTATAGTCGCTTGGAATGAACTAATCGGTTGGACCTGCAGTGCGTGTCATGTGGGTACAAAAGGGGCGCTTCCTCCTTTTGCACAGCCCTATGGACACCCAGACACATTTCATGTCGCTTTGTTCAACAGAACGTGTTGTTCTGTTGTATGGCGTTTACGGCAGAGTGCAATAAATTCAATATTGCACGTATAAATTCAATTTAAGGGCCCTCCTCGTGCAAAGGGGGCACTTGCTCCTTCTGGAAGAGCCACAAGCCTTTCCAGTACTTGCCTCCCGCCCATGCCCCACCAGTGTGCCACCCCTTACCCACCGCGATGCAAGATGGATTTGCACCATCTCAGACCGAATCTTGCCGACGCTCTTGCTGCCTGGCACAGTTCTAGCGACTATCGGGTCCTGCTTTCTGTGTTAACTACATTGCATTTACAATCCACGTGTCTAGTCTACTCCTTTCTTCTGTGATTGCATTGACAGTGTGTGCTTAGCGGGTGTGCTGTTCATTCTGCCAACAGAGTGATAGAGGACCGCACTCAGCGCCTGCAGGAGTTGCTGCAGGGTCAACCTCAAGCTGGCATTCCCATGACTGGTGCCCACAAGGAACTGTTGGAGGACCTCCACTGGATTGTGCTCATCACTGGTAATGTTATGACGAGCTGTAACCTCTTTGTCATATTTGGTTGCGTGTGTGTTTAACCTCAGATAGCCCGCATTTTTTTTTTTTTTTGCCCAAGTAGCATTTAAGTCTCTTGCCTGTCAACTAAGAAACTGCAATGTTACGCCCACTCTTTTTCACTAAGTCAAGTGCAATTTGTTGACTAGATTAAAAAGCTGAAATCGTCTTTCTAATTCGTGTTTAGTGTGCAAACTGATCTACTGGTTGCAGAACACAGAATGACCGTTTGCTGCAACCGCCACGCACAACACCGCGGTCGTGGCGAAGCAATATTGATTTACGAGCTCCGAGGGCACGCGACTAATGAAGCAGTGGATTAAAGGCAGTAAAGACGCAAAATAGGCTACATGCGTTTTGGCCTTCCTGTCCAACGGATCTATTTGTGAGGAAAGCTTTGGGCCACGCTTTTTCGGCAGCCAGCTGCGTCGTCCCGTTTGTTCTTGTGTGTCCCAGAAAGACATACGCGAGTTGTTTTGATGGAAATAGATTTTGCTAGCTGTTTTAATCCTTTGAGACTCTCACCTTCGTGGGAAACCCTACGCTCCTGTGTTCGACTACTCCAAGCCATTATAAGACCTCAACGCCGACGATGATGCTTGCGATTGAGACCCCCCATCTCCTCTTGTTTTTCTCTGTTTTTTTTTCTTACGGTGTTAAAGAAAATGTGGGCAAATAATTAAGCGCAACCCCCACCCCTGTTGCGGAAATCTCCTGGATTCAGAATCCTTGAACTTGGCAGGTATGACTGTATGTGCAAGTATGTAGAAATTCTGCAAATTTGAAATTGTGCCATTCGTTTAGTATACTCAGCAGTAGCCCTTCTCTCTGCAGGCCACCTGTTGACAACAGTGTGTGACGGCGAGACCCCACTAATTCCTAAGGAAGTGACGCGGTTCAGCTTGAACTCTGGGGCTGACACGGCAGCCACACTTTCCCTGCTGTCGCGACTAGGCCAAGCCGATGCAGCGTCTTCTGTTCAGGGAAACGTGGACCCAGTAGTTAGGTATGGACCATTTGTTGGGAAGCTGTCATGGCTGTCATGATTGCGATGTCTGGTGGACAAGTGTAGTAGTATTGTGGCTGGCCTCCTTTGACCAAAAATGGCCTTGCAATGAGGTCGCTTAACATGTTGCATATTATTTACGTTGTACTGGCCCTAATTTTAAAAGCTAAGCTCATTGTGCCATGCAGATCTCCTCGACACTAATGTGATGTCAGTCTACAGTGTCAATTCTGATGGCCTCATGCACCAGTATAGCTTGTTGTGGTGACGTCAGATTCCAAAACATCCAAAATGGCCACTTGTGCACCACCAATGAAGCCACGTAGCAAAGTGGCTGTAAAAACGTCACTCTATCTTGCGCGAGTGTGCAACGAGAAGCTCGTACTGTGTCGCGATGTCATTGTACCGTAGGAATTAAAACTAGCTCTCAAAGAACTTGTCATACTTAATTTTCAGGGTGCGTTCACGCTTATTAGTGCATTTTCTGGAATCGTCACGACTTGGTCATCCACGTGACAAAGAAGAAAAAGCAACTCAAAATGTTCATGTCAATACTTTTTTAGAAGACAGTGTCTCAAGGTGGTTCCTTCACCAAAATCTAAAGCATTTTGAGTCAGAGTGGAGTACTGACTCAAAATGGCAGGGTGGAGTACTAGGCAGAGTAGAGTAGAGAGTGGAAGTACTTGGTCCATGATTCTTCATGTGAAAAGGTGAAAAAAAGGAAGTACTAAAAACTATGGCGTTACTCGGAAGACCACGTCTGCTTATCCTTGTTATGTGGGTAGAATGTCTGCCAAGAAATTTTAGTTTAGAACTGTTCTGTGAAGACATTTTGAGCTGTACACAGGGGCTTCAGTGCTTCACTGACACGAATAGTCTTGTAAAACACGGAACAGTACAAGTTGAGATTGCTGTTACCCAATCTTGAGCGTGGAAGTGGTGAATGTGCGCAGACATCTTATCAAGACAAATTGGACCCTGTACTTTATGGCATTGCACTGTTGAGGTTTCACTTTGAGACTTCACTCATAAGTCGTCTCGTCGACGCAGACTGGTTGTTGCAGTTCTCCAGCTGTGCCACGTAGAGAGGGCAGCACTACAGGCAGGACTTGGTTCCCAGCTCAGCCCCGAAGTGGCCATAACGTTGGTGTGGTTTCTTCATCGTTGGGGGCTGACTTACCTGCTGCCAAACGAGACGTACTACACGCAGGTGGGTGACAGGTGGTGCTTTGGGGGCTTGTGTCAGGTGGTATTCTTTGACTCGACTACCCCTGCTTTTTTTTCTTCAACCGCTTCTCCCTTCCCCCACTTAGGAAAGCGGCATCATGCGGATTATCTTTAAGGGATCAATGGGAGACCTTGTACGGGAGCACGCGAGAAGGGATCCGTCAGCACCTGCTTGTCAGGTATTACACGCAAGCAAACCTAAGAGTGAACCGTCCAAGGCTGTTTTCACTTGTCGTGCTGTCCATATGCACAAATGTCCTCTTTCTCTTCTTCTGAGAGTTCAAATTCGATGTGCGTTAAGTGTTGTAAGAAATAGCGTGCCTGCAAAACCTCTCATGCTTATATGTATAATAAATAAAAAAAAATTAACAGAGCAAATCAACAGTAAAATTATGTATAGAGTTTCTTTAGCTCCTAAAAGTAGAAAAAAAAAAGATACTGAAAGCTGGTGAGAAGAATGTTTATTTTCCTAATTATAAGAATGCCGTTTGTAAGTCCATTGAGCAGGGTAGCTTTCAGAGATAAAGGTGCTGTGCCAACTATGCAAAAAAAAAAAAAATCGTATATTCTTGTCATGCCAAAAGACCTTGTTTCACATTTTTTGCATTTGTGCCATGCTACACACACCGACACTGATGTGACAAAACTACCTATTTGAAGTTTCTATTGGACCTGTTGTAGAGTGCAGCTGTTTCGTGTGTACTGTACTTCTGTATTTATGGTCTGTGTTCATCTGGAAAACTGTCTTGTGCATCGTTCTATGTCTCCTGCTTTCCTGAAGTTTTGGTAAAATTGCTCTATACGTTTCTGTGCATCCCATCGTAGACACTGTGTTCGAGACCTTGATCCCTTCCAACGTTGACATGTCATTGTTGCTTATTTCCTCTGTAGTGGTATCTCACGAGTTGATTGCAAAATTGCACCCAAAGCCAGAAAACACTTTTGGAACCAACTTGGACTCAGTGCTGACTGCCATGTAGCGCTATAGGTTTCCTGGACAGGTTACGTTAGGGGAGGTCCTGCTTATTTTTTCTATTAGGGATTGTCTCGTCTTTTCGAGACAAGTTCAAGTGTGATAACTCGTATACAGATGAGCCCGACGTTAGTTGCGGCGTTCGGGCGGGACTCGGAGGCTGGCCCTTGCGTGCTGGACTGGGTGCTCGGCAAGTTGTGCTCCAACCTGGAGTTGTGGCACAGCGAGACTGCGCTGACGCTGTCCACCTGCCAGGCGATGGTCTCGCTCCTCAACAATGTTGAGAGGTAGGCTCAATGCACTTACGGAAGTGTTGACTCTGTTTTCATTTCTACCTTTGTGCTTGCACAATGACAACTTCATGACTCTCTGATGCGCTGAGATATTGTTGAGATAAATCAGTATTTGGATGTACAGAACATGGCAACATTAATCATGGATATGGGAAATCAGTCAGCATTGAACACTTATGGCATCCTCCTGGATGTTATAACTGTACAATCCTGTACTGCATATACAAATTGAATATCAATTCAATTTGGTACAGTCACATTCTCATGAGGGAATTAGTAAAAAGTTAGCACCTTATGGTACTGTGGGAGCATTCTGTGATTACTGCTGATTCTCTCATTATTTGGTATGGATCTGCATGGACAAGCTGACAGTTCCTCCTCATCAAACTGGAAGAGGTGTGGGCTGTCCAGTTTGGTGCACGTCCTCGAGGTCGAAATATTGATCTTTAAACTAAGTGCTTTAACCGATGTTTAAGGGCTTGTAAACAGGCTCCAACTTTTTTTTTTACACCCCCCAAACAAGCTCGCCAATTTGTACTGTAGACCGCGGCGATCACATTCACCAAATATTACAGCGCTACACATCATACCGACCCTCCATTTTGAAGAACAATCCTGTGCCTTTTTCCCTCGCCTGACCGATCCCCCTCATACACGCAGTATGATGAAAGCTTGCCCATGGGCAACATTACGCACCACTGAGCTCGTCAATCGGTTCTTTGCCCTGCAAAATGGTGCCTTGGCCCCGCGGCAATGCAGTTTCAGCTGCGCAGTCTGCATTTTAATTTTTCTGTGCTGCCCTCTGCTCTTTCGTAGAGGCAGAGACTCCGGGAGAAGCAGTATGGATAGAACGAAAGCCTCCGAGATAAAGAGGCGTCTCACTACTTTACCGTGAGGGGAAAAGTGCTTCTCACTCCTAGTTTTCTGCCCGCACCGCTGTGACACTTGCTCACTTGAGGGAGCCCCGCGCATTTGTTGGTTGCTCGCCGATGACGTATCACGGGCGACGTGTTATGTTGCCATAGTGGGCAGAGTGACAACTGGGTACTCTTTCCCCTTCCTATGACAGAGAAAGGTGGCAGGCAGCCCCGCAGAAATTTGAAACCGGCTGAAAATGAATGTTCTAACCCCTGTAACTTCCTTATCTATCACACTTATTTACAAAATTCTTGCAACAGCATGCTCACTTGGCAAAAGTTAAAATTTCCGGACCTCGGGGTTGTTTATTGGCCCTTTAAGCTGTCTTGAGGGTGGACGAGGCAATGAAAGCTATTTTTGTTATCTATGGAGGTAAAGTGATGAGATTTGGCATGCAGATGTCATTTTTTGTACTGATATCATAACTGAAATCATTTGCGAGCATTCTGTTGATAGACTCTCATTGTATTTCTATAATTAATTAATTAATTAGATGTAAGTTTGTTGATATTTTTGCATAAGGATATTCACAAGGGCCCATTTTGTGTTTTTTTTAATATTCAATAAGCACACAAAATGTTTTTCAAATTTCCCGGACATATTGTCTTACTAACAACTTTTACAAAAAGCGAATTGTAAAAATTTGTATAATGTGCACACAAATTTTGGACAGCTTTACAGCACTTGCCAATGTCTCAGTATCTAAGTGAAGAAAGCCGAATGGCTATTCTTCATTTGTTATGAAATGGCACATATATGACTGACAGCAACTGCTCGAAAAATGAAAGCTGAGAAAATGCAGCTAAAAGAAATTGGAGCTAAAAGCTATGAAAATGGAACTCTCAGGAGAGCTGGCTTTACTTTTCGTGGGAGAATGGCAGCTCTGTAGCTATGTTGAGCTCGAATATGTCCTCTTTACAATGATGCCAATATGGTGGCACTGTGCCAAGGGAAAGCTGTGGATTTGCATTTTCTAAAGCTCCAATTTTCTCATAGCTCCTAACGACATCCCACCTGTAAAATGTTTCTCAAATTCTATTGCTTATTTCCACCTAATGAAGAGCCGCGCAATCTGCATTTTCATTTTTCTGCGTTGCCAGGATGTAAAACATGCTCTCAAGATTGCAAAAAAACAAAAACAAATTGAAAAAAATTGAACATTTCTAGATAATTTGCCATTCCCATTGCCACGTCCCCCCTTAATAGACATTGTTTCTTCTCCATACAATTTGCAAATCCCTCGAGCGCTATCTGAGGCTTTGGCGTTTTGAATAAATGTACAAAGCAGAAGGCATCAAAAGTGCTCTCTTTTTTCATCTGGACACACGATTTTAATGAACAGTAAGAACAAAAAGTACAGCGGCAGGAATAAACTAAATGTTTTCTAGTGCTCATAATTTTCTTTTGATTAACTTAAAATACAGCACGAACACATTTTTTGTGCATGCAAAATGTTCACTCGAAGAAAAAGAATGGCAGGGCTTCCAGGCCACCTCAATATTCTTAGCAGTTACACGTTTGGTAAAGAGCTACCTGGCATAGAATTTCCTGCAATAGCACTTACTAAACGGAACTGTGGGGTTGCATTCATTTAACCCCCATGAGAATGGTGGGTAGTACATGGATTTGCTTAGCTCGTGGCTTTATTTATTACTGTGTTTGAACGTTAGCTTGGGATAAAAGAACACTTCGCCATGAATTTTGTGAGCTGATTTAAATTTGTCAGCCTAAAGAAATTGAAGGTGATCAAGTGTGACTGGGAGCCTTCGCTGAACTTTGTTTTGTGACAAAGTGGCTGCAGGCCACATGGAGCCGAAGGAACGGAGCAAAGGCAAATCCATAACAAGCTAACCGACTATAGTCCAGGACGGGTTACAATGTGGTCTTTTCTACTCCCGTTTGCTCTGCCATAAAACCCCATGCATATAGACGTAGTACCACTTATTGTGCAGTTCCCCAAAATGAAAGACTGGTTACAATGCAGTTGGTGAAAACTCGGTGGGAAATGGGCTTCTAAATAAAGGTGTGCCGCTGAGAAGAGACAGACAAAAGCGCAACGAAAGAAGAAGTTATGCGGTGTGAACTATTGAAAGGCAAAAGGAGGCAAAGGGAAAAAGACCGTGTTGCGGGCATGCCAGCTGACAAAAGAGGGCCTGAGCTGACGGAGAAGCCTTCGCACCAGCGATGGTGTGACCCTAGTAGATTGCCGGCTGCGTGCACTCCGCTTGGTACGTGCAATTGCGTCCGCATCAAGTGGGCTTTGAGTTTTTTGTCAGTAAAAGCATCGTTGTGGAGTGCAACAGATATTGAGCTTGCGATTTCGTTTGAAAATTGAAAAGCTTTATGACATCATAATGTGAGCTTTTACTTTGCTGCCAGTATACGGACTTACACAAGCTTGGCACAATTTATCTCTCAGCTGGGAACCCGAACTTTGTATCATGTGTGCTTAACTTATCTTCGTGTTGTCTAGGACAAACATATTGAGACAACATGCCTACCCACAGGCTAGGTTTAATCAGTGTTGGTTGCCTTTTGATAGCCGTCACGGGTAATCAAAGTTGCAGTTTGGCACGGAATCGGCAAAACTCTTTGCAGTGGTTGATCTTGAAGGGAAGAGAATAATATCGTAAGTGGTTTGTGATTTCATTGCCATGCCTTCGGTATCCAGTGCACGCTTGTGAAATCGAACGATCACTACTGTTCAGTGCATGGAATTTCGGTCGGGATTGGACATAGTTTCTAAGAAAATGCGCATAATTTAGGTGACCTGAAATGTAGTCAGTGAATTTCCGCAATGAAACATTTTTTAGTCGATTCCTTTTCCCCCTGAACGTTTGTGCGTCCTCGGAGGTTAATTTTTGAACATTCAGAAATTTAAATATAGTTATAAGCACCCTGCATCACATGCCTCGATTCTATGACACGCGAGGCTGTATACGCACCACGTTTTGTGCAAGTGCAGACCTTGAAAGAGGTTGTTTGGGTAACAGTGTGGTACTGCACACTATAACCAAAATATATTGTGCAGGCATTATAGTGCAGATACTGTACTTGCAACTTCGGTGCCTTATGTTGGTCTATGCTGTACTACCTATCATTCCTATACTGGCTGAAGCGCCAGTTGTTGCAGCTCCAATAGACACTAGTGCATTATTTCCCTCTAGTGTGCCAATATGAAATTCTTTCCTGCCTTGAAGACCACATATGTAAAGTGTTGTGGGACATGCAGCTTGTTTTCTTTACTATTTTATAAATCAGGTAGATTGTTGAGTTGTTGCTGCTGTTTCAATATTTTCAACAGATCAAGGTTGCTCAATCTCATTTCTTTGTCTTGTGGTTCACGCTGTTTCTCGTTTCCTTGAGCATGTGCTAATCTGTTTAATGTAAGCACTCTAGCGCAAGCCTTATATGTGCCAGGTTACTGAGAGCACTACGTGAATTGAGAATCGACAAATTTCAGGTCTGACTAGTATATACACTGATGCCATTGCTGTTTTATAGAGATTATTCCGTGCTCGCAGGATGTGATGTATGAGGAAAATGATCTTTTCTTCCAACCCAGGGGTCACCGGGCTGCAGCATGTCCGAGCCTGCTGTCCCTCTTGCAACGTCAGTCACAGGGCCAGCTGGGTCCGCTCGCACCGGGCTCTCATCGAGCTCTGCTCAAGGCCCTGGTCATCGCGTGCACTGCCAACAGATTGCCTGACGCCCCCCAACTTTGGGAGGCCCTCCTAGGACCCCTCAAGACCCGATTTGAGGAATTCTTCAATTCTTGTGTTCAAACACGCTGCCGCTTCACCGAGCCCCAGAAGTGAGTGTCTGTACTTGTTTTGGCAGCTTCATGAAAAAGTTTGAAGGAGTATTCAGTATGGTGGTAATTACTGATTCTTTGTGTCTGTGTGCTGAAATGAAGCTAAAACTTCAGTCTGCAGAATTCGAAGTGTCACAAATTCATCTTAACTTCATACCTAATACAACTAAACTAGTTTCTACTAGCCTGTGGCTGCTGTACCTGAGCGTAACTGGAAGAAACACAAAAGGGAAAAATTATTGTTGACCCATCTGTAGCACCAACCTACAATGGAGCCCATATGGCTTTCTCAGAAAAGAAGTTTTGCAGTTGAAAAAAAATCACTGTGTTCTGAGGTAGGAATCTGGTATCAATGCATTTTCAGGCAGGCACTTTACATCTGAATTATGCTACTGTTATGTTCATTCTATGGTTAATCGGTAGGCAGTAGGCTTGTGCCAGTATTCGAGTACATACTGTGAATTTGATTCGAATGTAAATAAATTTTTAGAAACTTCGAGGTAGTATTATTAGAAATTAACAAATAGGTGCAAATTAGTCCACTTGTGTACCCGCCCCCCTCCTCATCTTTCTAAAGGGGGTTTCGCTGCAGTGGTAGGGTGCTGTACCCTGAAAATAGTTGTTCAGGGGACATCCGCATTGCCGCCAAGCCTCTTCTCAAGGCTAAATGAACATATTACGCTCACATCGATTTATCACTTTTTAAGTTTAACAGCTTGTCATACTGGCTTGTATGCTCTAAGTATAATGGGTTTTAAAATGCTATGTGCCTTATACATTATCACTTGCATTCCACTAAAGGCCATATCCCACTAATATTCAATGCTGCTCCCACTTTCTATTGAACCAAAAAGGATGTCATTTATTTGCACATGCCTTGTTTGAATTTAAAAAAATATTGAGCAAGCTAGTTAGGTCATCACGAGTATGCTCATTTTTTCACATTTACTCATGTATTAGACACACTTTTTGTAGAAAAAGCCAGTGCAAAGTTGAGGGTGCATTTATTATGCGGGTCAAGTTTTATGCAAACTTTTACGGTATGAGCGAAAAAATGCGGCAATGCAAAAAAAAAAAAAACTTACCGTAATTACTCGAATCTAATGCGCACTTTTTTTAGTTCATAAATCACATGCACGTTACAATCGAGTAAAAAAAAAATGAATACGGTCATTCTATTGCCATCGGCATTTCCAAAATCGCCGCCCCCTACGTGCGTCGGCATGGCGCGTCGACCATTTCTGCCTATGTGTTTCCCATGTACGGCACTTCGTACGTGTGCTGAGGAGTTCGTCATCTTGTAGTGCATTAGCATCGACGGCATGGAAGGGTTGATTCCAAAAACTAAAGTGCACTACGATGCCGCTTTTAAAAGGAAAGTCATCGCGTGTGCAGAAACGGACGGAAATCGGGCCGAATCGCGGTCGTTCGGGGTTCCCAAAACGTGCGCGCGGGACTGGCGGAAACAAAAGCAGAAGATTGTCGACAGCAAAGCTTCACGCAAATGCTTCAGTGGACCACAGCAGGGTCGGTTTCCACAAATTGAAGAGCTGCTCGGCGGGTATGTGCTTGAGCAGCGAGCGGCACAGCGGCCCGTGACGACAGAACTGCTCCAAGTGCGGGGTATGCAATTAGCCTTAAAAAAGGTCTAATGCGGAGCCAGTTAAAAGCGAGCAGCAGGTGCTGGCTAACTAACTTTATGAAGAGGAAAGGCTTTTCCCTCCGAAGGCGAACGGGCATATGCGAAAAGTTTTGCGGAGGAGTACGATGAAAAGCTTCACAGTTTTCAGAGGTTCGTTCTAAACTTGCGGCAGAACAACGACTACCTGCTTAGGCAAATTGGAAGTGCCGATCAGACGCCTCTTTACTTCGACATGCCTGGCACCACAACTGTCGAGAAGAAGGGGGCGAAGCAAGTTCGTGTGCTGACATCGGTCCACGGTAAAACTACAGTGACGGCAATGCTCTGTTACACGTCAGATGGGCACAAGCTTCCCCCGTACCTCATATTTAAATGGAAGACGCTCCCGAAAGGAGTCGTTTTTTCGAGTGGTGTGATCGTGCAGGCCAGCGAGAAAAATGGGTGCGTGTTGCAAACGATGTCTTTTTTTTTTTTTCGTCGTGGAAATCGGGTGCGCGTTACAATCGAGGGCGCGGTAGAATCGAGTAAATACGGTAGTATGCTCAGCTTCGTTGCACTTCACTGGTCTTCTGTGGTGGAAGGCGCCATCTTCTGCAAGCTGTTCCTGCGCCGCCCATTCGCACCTTGAGAGTGTATCGCGGCTATCTTTTCTTGCAATCGTTTAACCGCAACAGTGGTATCTGCTGTGATCTCGAGAGGTGTCCAGAAGCGTGCACTACGACGCCACGACGCACTTTGCCAACTTTGTGGCAAGCAACCAACATTGCAGCACGCTACCACCGAAACATCAAAACAAATTGTCGATAACAAGATTAACAACGAAATACGGAGGCCGCCTTGCTTGCAACTGAAGAGATAATCGAAGACCATGTTGCGGAAACAGTCACCATCTTTTCTGGGTGACAAGCGAATTATTTCTGGTTTTCCAGAAACCTGCGACGCGATGGCGACAAGTGGCCCTTCGAGAAAGTCATAGCGACAGCAAATCCTGTCATCGTTGCTTGAAAATTGCATGCATGTAGTTGGGCCTTGAAGTTTCGTATTTGCAGGAAGCGACTGTCGGTTGGCACGGGCAGTTCCGTGATTCTCGCTCGCTGTGTGCCTGTCTGCTGCCATGTCTCAACACTCGCACTGTTCGCGAACCTTGCTGTGGCGCATAGATAAATAAAAAAAAAGACGTGGTACGTGCCATGCACAGATAGAAAGAAATGCTATACGATGCGCGTCAGCGGGCGAAGGTGGGAAGGGAGCGTGTCGAGGTGGCCAAGGGGGGTTGGCAAAATAATAAAAAAAAAAAAAAACGGAATAGATCCACTGCCAAGAAGGTGCCAGGTATCGGTTAGCGGGACTGAAGCGAACAAATGTAGGGGGTGCGTTTATTGTGCGGGTGAATTCATTACGCTAGTAAATACAGTAATATGTGATAGTTGAATCTCGCTATGTACTACAGTATAATATAACTTCGTTACGACTGACCGCTTTAGTGAAGAGGATTTTGGTCTGTTGTAAAAGGAGTCTGAATGGGTCTGTTATAACCGGTGAGAAGTGGGTGTCATACGAATTTATTCTGAATGGGGCATGAAAAAAATTGATTTTTTGAAAACATCTTCAGCTTCTATAGCACAATTTCTGAATTCAAAATATCTTTACTGAAAACTATGTAGAAGTGCTGTAAAAAGTTTATAGCATCTGCTGAGATAGTGAAAATCATTGTAAAAGTAAAAAAAAAACTGCATTTTAAAAAAAATTATTTCATTTGCAATGATAGAGCTGTCCACCACAATGTTGGGCTCTTCGTAAAAGTATTGTAAGAAACATCACATATTCGAAAATCAGATGTTTGAAATTCGTTTCGACGCCTTTAATTGGCTGCTTCTGCCGTGTTGCTCCAGTACGCAGCATGTCCGAGCCTCATAAAAATTCGCTATAAAGAGGATTTTGTTATATGCAGGTTCGATACGAAAATTTGGAGAATAAATGTGCAAATTGAACAAAAAGGGGACTGCAGGCAGAGCTAACCCAAAACACCAACTTTACAGTAAAAATGTGCGTTATTATTGCAATAGCAATTATATGGACGCTCGCAACGGGTTTTCGCCGTCGGCGCCATGTTCCGTAACAAGTCCAAATTGATAACATGCTCCCGCGCATCGCAACTTTCTCGAGCGGGTAAAAGCGCGCGAGCGCTGCTGAAGCAGAGATCAAATAAGTCGGTCCATCCCCATCACCTGGAAAGTGCATAAGATAACGTCTCCCCTGTGTTAGAACTGCCAAAGAATGGTCAAACAGAAAGTAAACCACCGATCTTGAATGAGCATGAAACAGCGCGGGGAGGGGGGAGGGGAGTTGCTCAAGTAGTAATAATGAACTTAGATTTTAAGGGCGGTGGTGATTGCTATCTCGGCGAGTATCAGTGCGGTTTGAACACGAATGGACAGTGTGAAAAGAGTACTTCTTCCTGGAGCGGCTGTATTTGCTCACACCAGCGTTTTGTAGGAGTTCTGCGATATTGGATCCAAAAGAGTTGGCTGCCAGACTTACTTCTTATAACATTACATTTTTTTTCTATGGCATTTAATGCATTTCATTCAACGCGCCATTGTGTTGTTGCCAGAACTAATCGGCTAATCGCGAAAGCTACCAGCCTGCGAAGTCACGGCGAAAGACGGAAGTGTGTGATGAGTCGACCTGCGAATATCCGTCGTCGCCGTGGTCTCGGATCAGCCTAATCTGACATGCCCTTGGGGTTGACGACATAGTTGTCTGAAATTAACAAAAGTCACAGTTTCACTGCAAGGGCGTAACAATGCGATTGCAACAACTTGGAATTAATGCTGAGAACGGCAAGCAGATCGAAACGCGCAGCGCACTGCTCGCGCACAAATTACACATGAAAAGAACACACACAAGACCAAAGCGAACTAACAACGTTTACCGCTCAAAACTTGAGGCGCTTTAAACAAAAACGAGCCACGAAACGTAATTACAGGTACAGATATGAGTGCGAACAAGTGCCCCAGTTGTTACTTTGCTGTGTTTGAAAAGCACACTCTTTTCGCAAACGGCGCCTTCCTGCGAGCGAAGTGATGTTTGTGTGCCCGGCAACTAAATGCAATCGTTCCGGTCAAAGTCGAAGGGCGCGCGATTCTCTTCACCGAAGATTAAGCGCGAGCGCCCAAGCATCTACCCCCCCTCCCCCCCTTCGCGGGCAAAGTACGCGTGGGAGGTAAGCGCGCGTCGGCGCATTGTGACGAAACGAACTAGGCGCCGTGCGGGGGCGGCTTTTTTTTCTTTCTTTCTTACTTGAGTTTTCATATATGTGTGAATGGTGGTGGCAACGGCATAAAACCAGCCGAGACTGTCCATATAATCGCTATCGAAATAATAAAAATAAAAAGCAAAGCTGAACGTTGTCAGGGGCTGCGCCATGCGTGCAAGGCATCGAAAACGAAGAGCGAACGACACAGACACTGCAGAAAACTATTCGGTAAATGTGCAGCGCGGCCCCGCGTATGTGACGCTGACTAAAAGCGTGGCACTGCCAACGCGCAAAAGTAGTTTTCTTTTTTATTATTATGGTTTGAGAGGGGGGAAGGGGGCACACACACCCGCGCATGTCGGCTCATGGGGTGCAGGCTCGCCTCGCGCTCACCCAGCCGCATCCAATAACAAGCAATCGCTCTCGCCTGGTGCGCTATGCGCGCTGCCGCTGCTTCGCGCTTCACCAGCGGCGGGGAAGTCGCGGGACATGCATGCTCGTACCAAAATGCGGAGTAAAATTTCTAGAATGTTTCGTGGGGAAAAATTTTTATATCAAGGTTGTCTCCCTCTGTTACTTTGTTATATAGAGGTTGCAAATACATGTGCATCTATGGAGCAACGGCGGGGAATATAAAAACTTCGTTATATCGAGGAATTCATTATATCGAGGTTCGTTTTAGCAGGTTTAACTGTAGTGTCGTCTGCTTGTGCGCCGCGAGGTCACGGCTGTAAAAAATCGCGCTGCTTAGTGACGTTTTTGCGCTCGTTCTGTGTTCACATGTCAATGATGATTCCGCATACAATTACAGCTTAGTTAGGGCAGCAGCAAGCAGAAGTTCTGTCATGACATTATCATCGCGCACCGCATATGCGTGCCTCGGTCGACTTCTTTGTGGGAAGGTAGTGTTTGTCAGCGCTTTGGACTTTGTGATTAAGACCACCACGAAACAAATATTTGTACTCGTCATCGGGCATGTCGTACTTTGAAACACCAGGCGCCACCACGATGCATATCGCAGCCATGCTTTCTGCTCCAAGTCGTGCCTAGGTCTAATCTGAACTTGGCGGGCAAAACCGTTGTGCTTGCGGATTTGCGAAAGCGAAGAAGTCATAATGTGCTTTGTTGCAAGCAACGAATGACATCGGCGGTTGGCTACTTAGAACTACGAATAGGCATCTTGCACGTTGGTAGCGTACCCCGTCTAAGTACGCCATGCACTGACCGCTAGGAACAATGGCGGCAGCAGTCGGCAATTTAGTGCATCAGCGTCTCAACACACAAAACTATGCAGGCTGCGTGCCAATTTTTTGTTGCCTTAGCTAGGCTTAACTAATAACTAACAGACCTCATATCGGCAGCTTTTGTTTTTAAATAGGTATGTAGATATGCCCCTAAAGTATGCCAAGTGCTGTTTGAAGTCGGGAGTTATAAAATTTAGGATGTCTGTGGTAGTGCCCATTGTGAAGGAGTCCTGACCACCTTGCTGACCTCCTAACCTCATATTTTAGTCAATTATATCACAATGTCCGTTGCACCGGAATTCGTAGTAAGCGGAGCTCAATCAATGGAACCAATAGGAAGGTCGGCAAAACGCCGCAGAGGAGTACGTAGTATCCGAATGTCTGTTGTAAGCAGATCCGTTGCAACGAGTATATACTGTATCCGTATTCTATTTGAAATGATTCGACCAAGTCACTATTCACTTCAAATTCGCTTTGAACTTAAGATTTAAGATTCGCGCAAGCATAGTCGGCAGGTATGCGTTTACGTGGATACTAACTAGATTGTGGGGATACTGGACAGTTTTGCAACCCATAGAATTGTCTATTCCTTACCAGTCACGATTTTTTTGTAATCTGGATTTTCCTGATGGTATGTGCCGCGCTGAGCTCAGCCTATTGCTCGGCGATGCAAAAGAAGGCGTAAGTGTTTCTGCACTGGTGCCAGCTGACAGCATGGTGCCAAGGATACAGGAGGGACTGTTTGTCTACGCCTAACTTCGTGCGCCTAATGGAAGCTCGGCAGAAATGTCAAACAAATGCCCTCCTTATCGATTGAATATGCTTCTGTGGGTGAAAATTCATCTATGTCGGCCTACAGTGCCGATTTTCCGAAGGTGCAGTGCAATGCCACACGAAAGGCCCATTCGCATGTTTTGCGCTTCTGCACACTGCATTGCTTGTTAAAGTGTTTGAGGTTCCACAGTGCCTACATCTGCAGTGCCCTCCCACTTATAGGAGCAAAGCGCTGGATCTCTTGGAGAGCCTGTGCGGTGTTGCTGAGGGCACTACACCCAGCAACCTGGACACCATTCAGCCCATGCTGCTTCCCCTCCTGGTTCGACTCTCCTCCATCATTGCTGTGCTGCGTTCCGAGGCCACCCTGATCACTGCCACTACACAATTATTTCGAGCGGCGGCCCGGCGGATGCTGTGCTTTGTGGGGCCCAGCGATTCCACGGCGCTCAGCCATTGCTGCTTGGAGCTCGTGCGCCAGTTTGCCGAGCATAGCTCAGGTGCTGTTCCGCTCTGTTTCGTCTTTCTCTCTTTTCTATGAGCTGAACGTTATGTACGTCTACCGAGAAGCTGCCCAAATTGAACACGGCCGTTTAGTGAAGGTAAATTCTGGGGATTTACGTACCAAATTCACACCGTGGGACTGAAGATTGATCTTTGGCCATCTGATATTCTTTAACATGTGCTCTAGCTTGCATCAGCATTTATTCGTACAACAATTATTGTGTGTAACAAAGTTTCTTTCTTTGTTATATGCAGCTTCATTAAAACAGGGCTTGTTCATAAGTGCAAAATGCCAGTCAGTTGCCGCTGTGTGCAAAACAAGTGCACGCACGAGTGAGGGACTGCATAGTTATTAGTACTATGCAGAACTGAGTCTTGCGATGGGGACTTGAATTCAGGCGGTAGTATTAACATACACTTCTTTGTCAAAAGGAACCAGTATTCCAAAGGCCATAACATTGAGAGCAACCCTTTGTTCTCTTAAGCTAGATCAGCCCTGCTGCAAGACCTATCAGGAGCTTAAAATTCGTGCAGTGGCTTTGAAATCGCTGGGGTTATTTCACTGCGTATTCGTACTGACACTGTTATACACTGTTGTCATGTGTCACTTTTCTTGCATGTTTGCCCACTTATACGGCTTCACTTTCTCACAGGCCTGTTTACGACAGAAGCGACTGCTGAGGATAGCCATGTTCGTGAATTGGGGGAGCTGCTTGAGCTATTAACTGAGCTCCTTTCCAAGGACTTCATGTATATGGGTGCCAGGGTACCTTCCAACAGCACCGGTACCGACGAAGCTGCGACGGGATTTGAAGTGCCTACTCCTGGCATTGCCATAGAAGGCTTGCGGTTTCTCATGCCCCTGCTCAATGCTCAGCTGCTGCAGGCAAGTCTCTATCCGAAAAAGTTGATTGGCATTGTTTATAGGACTGTAGCTTTAAATATGTATGTTTGAAGGTGATGCAGTGAGGCACAGAAAGTTTCACACGAGGGCAAAAGCTGCATGTCTGCTTTGTCTTTGCAGCATTTGTGTAATTAAAGAAATAAATATTAAAATGAAATTTCACCATGCTGCAACAAAATGCCCCACCGGCCTCAAAATTTTCTCATGTGCGCTAATTTCAGCGAGAAATGGAGACCACATTGGCCATAGAGTTTCCTATTTATGCACTACAGAAAACTCTGGCGCTAGTGTCTATGAGAGTTGCAATGCATGGCACTTGAGCGAGCATGGGAATTATGGGTAGTACGTGGATTTTCCTGATCTTTGTACTTTACGCTCCATTTGGCTTCACATGGCTTGAAGAAATTTTGTCACGAAACAACAATCGGCAATAGTTTATCAGTTACGCTTCACCAACTTAATTTTTTAGGTTCACAAATTCGAATCGGGTTACAAAGTTCAAAATGGTTCGTTCTTTCATTCGAAACAAAACTGAAACACTGCAATAAACGAAGCCACAAGTGCGTTTCGAGGCGCGCACGGACAAAGACATAGCAAATCTATGTCTACCCATAATTCCCATAGTCGCTCAACAGTTGGAGCGCCAGAGTCCCCTCCAGAGTCCCCTCTGTCATCAAAGCATGCAGACCCTAACCCTAAACCGCGGTGTACTTTGGACTCTCAAGGAAAAGGACCATGGGGTAGTGTAGGCCTAAAGGGAGCACACTCAGCTTAGAGATTTCTTAAAAGATTAAGGTAAAAATTCAGCAGATCTCACATACCTTGGAAATTGATTATATGCGAAGCATGCGGATGAAACATGAATGTGTTTTTTTTTATTGTTGAAAAAGACATTATAAAGTGGCTGTAAATATATGTACAAATCCACGCACATGCATACGTGAAGCAGCCGCGTATGCTTTATATTAGCAGTTTTCACTACTTTTCTTCTTCATATAGGTAGGTACATTTCTGCCAAAGCAGTGCTGAAAAATATATATATTTTAAGGATAAATATCTTAGGCTAGATTGTCTCGGCACTCTTTTAATGGGTGGCTCTTTTCCACTTCGCAGTTCCCGTCTCTGTGTGTGCAATACTTCAAGCTGGTCGCTCTGCTCAGTGAACTGCATCCCGACAAGGTGTGCAGGATGCCTGAGGATTTACTTCAGGCACTACTAGGCTCCATTCGAGTAGGACTAACAAGGTTGGTGGCAGGATGTGGGTGACGGGTGAGGAGGGCTCAACACCACTCGCTGGAACGACAACCTGTGCTTGAACTCGTGTGAAAGAACACAGCTATAATCACTTTTATTCAGCTGACTATGTTGCCTCCAGTCGGCGCCTTCATCATTTGGCGAGTTCACTTCATGGGTGCTTTCCAAAAGCTGGTCGTCCTCTATGCTATGAAAATTTCTCTCCTCCAATTAGCATATGCCAGATCACTGTGTGCCATTCTCAGGCTGTCATGCAATGGCAGTGTTGTTTACAAATGGCAAGCTTTGCATGCCTTTCTGAAAATAAATAGAAGACCCGCTTTGGCAGCATCCCGTACCAGCCTCACAGCGATGGAGGGGTGGTTGCTACAGGAACGCTTCAGTAGCGTCTCTGGCAGCTTCCACGCCGGTGATTGCTGGTTCAGGAATAGAAATTGTTGCTACACCTTGCCAGTTTACAGCAGAATGTGGGTAAATGGAAATGGCTTGACTGGTACTGCTGCTATATGGAACTGCCTCTGATAAGGATGGTTTTGTATGGTGTTGCTCAAAGTGTGTGGATATTAAGGCAATAGCATTAAAAAGCTTGTTTCGCAGGAAGTCTGTCGTTCGTATCATTGGTTGTGAGGAAAAAGAAAAAAAAACAAAGCAGCTCACTTACATGGTTTCATGGAAATGTAATGGCACTGTCATTTCAGAGCAAATGAGTTGAGAGAAAACATGATAAGAATGTGTCGATGAAAGTTTAGTGTAAATTGATTGAGTTTTAATAGTTGCGCGATTAGCAAAGTTTTGGGTGCAAAGCAAACTTGAATATTGAACTGTGAGTGTGAATCGAATAGCATATTTTTCCCATATTTCTGTAATATTTTTCCGGTACTGCGAAGCGAAATTGTAGAAAAAAAGGTTGTAGAGGATTCCTATGTATACTCTTATGAGATAGCAATGTGAAAGTGTTTCCTTTGGTTAGGCTGAGGAGGCCATGGTGGTATGGCATTTCATAGTTGTCTTATCAAATATGAGGCAATGGAGAGGCCGAATTTTATTTGTGTACACGATTTGGTGCAACCAGAGTTATTGCCAAGAATACTTTACACGTGAAAGGCACTATTTCCTCAGCCTCTCTTTGAACTTCTGTGGAAGCCCAACCGTTAATCTGCCTCTTAGATCTCAATATACAAGAATATCTAAAACACTGAATGCTAAATATCCTAGGCGACCGATTTTTCAGACTTCCTGCCCCAATTTCTGCTCTAGAACAGTATTAATTGAGCTCCCACCTCTGCTACACCTATCATCTTTATGTTCGAACAAGCGTTTTCCAGAGTCCATACATTTGCAACAATAGCAGAGCTTGAAAGGCAGCTTTACCGCAATGCGTAAGTGTGATGGTGTGAAGCGTATTAAGAATCTAAAGGGGCAACTACTAATCGTATGTTGACTGTATCTGTCCTCGTGAAGCTCTCATAGTTAAATTCCATTGTGAACCGAACGGAATAGCAAACAGTGTTAAAAAAATAATCGTAATTTCAAATATTCCCACAGCCTTAATTTAAATGCTGGGACTTAAAGGCACACCAAAGGGAAATATTAAGTCGATGTTGATTGCTGAAATAGCGGTCCGGATTTGTCGAGTGCTACTTTTGTGCCAAAAAAGTGCTTGTTTTGAAATAAAATCATGTTTTAGTGGTCCGTATTGTGTTAGCACACTTCTAATTACCCGCCGCAAGTGGAACCTTTTACGTCATTGTTGCCGTGCACAACGTTGCCCAACTTTACTGCATGGCCGCCAACACTAGTAGCAGCAAAACGAAAGTAGTGGAAGCCACAGCAGCAACAATGTTGATTGAACAATTTCCTGCCATGTCCTCCTAGATAGCAGGTGTGCTTGGTCTCGCTAGATGGTACAACCTATCCAGTTTAACCAGGCAAAAATTTCTCTTTTGAACCACTCGCACCGTTTCCTATGTCTGACAGTTTTTTTTAACATGAATCAAACAGAAACAAACTAGCAGCATTTTATTACATCTCTTAATGCACGGGAGGTTTTTTTTATTTGGTGGAGCTAGTTCAATTACTAGTGATTAATTGTGGGTGGCAAGTCCAACATTATTCGAATCATTTTGCGAATGTCCTACTCGTGGCGCTAGTGTTCTCATGCATTTGCATTAATTTCTCGATAAATAGAGGCCTGCTGTTGATAATACAGTCAAACCCCTTTATAAGAGACACTGATATAAGAGACAAATGGGTATTAGAGACACCACTGTGCCTACAGTAGAATACGGGTTAATGAGAAAATGCATAGGAAGTACCCTACTTATAAAAGACATATCATATAAAAGACAGGAATTATTGCCCGAAGCATGCGTCTTATAAAGGTGGTGTTTAACTGTACTGTCGTTTTAGACGTCATTCATTGAGCTTTCACTCCGACTGAAATTATTCCAGTAGACTCCCATTAAACGAAACTCTCTTAAATGAAATAGCTGCTTAAATGGAATAACTGCTACTAATATGTTTGGTTTACTACTTGAATATTGTACCCCAGTTTTTCTCTCAGTAAACGAAACTCCTTTTAAGGAAAACACATTCTCCTGGTCCCTTCAGGTTTCGTTTGAAAGAAGTCTACTGTTTAAAAGAAGGTACAAAAGGACTTGGGAGTGTCCTTTTTTATCTGAATATAAACTACTGTGCACGACATTTATCTTCAAGAGAATTTGAAATCCCATTGCTCGCTGGTGCCCCTTCCTCTCTGCAGCTACTCTTCGGAAGTGTCTGGACTTTGCTTAGAAGTGGTGTCTGTGCTGGCACTGGAGGTTCGCCGACTGGGTCTTGAGACCACGCCCGCTGGACGCGCCATCGAGCCGTTTCTGCAACTGCTCCTGGAGATGGTGCTACTGCAGCCGCTGGAAGCTGAGCTCACTCTTGCGGCTGGCAGCGCACTGTTTGCTCTCCTCTGTTGCTTCCGGGTGGGTGCATGACATCAGCTAGCACTATAGGTTGGCAAGGTCACCCAGTATTTGTATTGAGCCGCAAAGCTGAGCTGAGTACCTTATTTACTCTACTTCAAATGTGAGCACGGTGGTAATGTGAGAAGTGAGTTCCAGGAAGAAAAAGTAATACAAAAAAATAATTGTGTGCATCATTGCACTTTTTAGACTACTTGAGTTTGGGTGTTCGATTGTAATGTGAGGGTCTACTTTACGTACCAAAAATCAAGGAAAAACAAAACAAGAAACCCACTCAACGTTTGTTACATTCGAGTAAATACGGCAATATTTTGGCAAGCTTGGGTCTGAGCGAATCCAGCTGAGAAAATTTTGTTGAGACAGAGGCCGAGTGAGTCTGCTTGAAGTTCGAATGAGCCCAAAGCGCAAAATACATTTCTTGTGTAGTCTGAGTGAGCTCCACAGTTCTTGCTGACTTATGGCTAGCACTATCTCATATATATTGCGGGGAGGAGAAGGCCAATCGAAGATATCTGCTAGGGCTTTTTATCTACATTTCTGAATAGACTGACAACTGGTGATGCATTATTTTTATATTGCTGTAATGTTATCTACCAAGAAGCTCTAGCTGCTGTTTAAGAGGTGCATTATTTGGAAGCTCCATCTCATTTCCGCGTGGTGTAACTGATCTCACACGATGTGGGAATGTAATGCTAAACATATTCACTGTTCAAATATGCATGTTTGTTGGCGTCCCTGCATTTGTCAGTTTGCCAATTTACCTGAACGTATTCAAAATGGGGTGGTCTGAGTTGTATAGGGTAACAGCAAAGTAGATAGCACAGCATACTTCTGAAAGCAGACGTAGTTTCTTGGGCACGATTCGAAGGACTGAGGGAAATGCCCTGGACTGAATTTTTTTTTTTTTTTTCACAGTGCATAGTGTCTTCTTATAACTGCCTGGTAATTTTATTCTGCCTGATTATTTACAATTAGTGCATTGCTAAATGTGTCTTTGAAAAAAAGTACGCAGTATAATGGCATGCAGTTTAGGTTAGTTTAAAACAGTAATAAAAAGCTCACGTTACTTTTCATTGAGCAACTTTTCACTGGTGAATACTATGTGGTCAAAGTAGGCAAAGGTTGAGGTTGACACATTAAAAAATTGGGAGGCATAAAACAGAATTTGCTTGTGCAGAAAAGGGGAGTTTGAGGTTGCTGTGCGAGACCTTCATCTCGCACAGGCTGCTGCTGATGATGACTTATTTTATTTGATATTTGCCTTACTTGCATTTTAAAATTTCAGGATTTCTACACCCCTAATGCTACACAGGCATCGATTTATCCACACATTAGAATGTTTATAATTTTGAGTATCCTTAGAGAAAATGGTGCCTAGAAGAATGCCACGGAAATGAGGATAATAATGAAGAGTACCTTTGTAGTAAAATATATTGGACACTGACTGCCATGCAGGGATCTAGACAGTTGCAACATTTTTTTTTAGTGTCTCACAAAGTATGTGTAGCAGAAATACTGATACTGCTAGTACTGTATGGGAAAGAGTAGAGACTTTTGCTTCGAATGTCTGTTGACTTGTGGCCGACTGCGCTAAATGCCCTTTCTTTAGACTTAGCAATAGTTTCACCATGGCTTTGATTTTTTGCAGGAAAGCTTTGCGCAGCTTGCCCAAGCTCTCGTGGCAAGCCAACAGGATGCCGCAGTCGGGCAGCGGCTCGCCCAATCCCTGCAGACTCTCACTCAAGCTACACCGCTGACCCCCGAGCGACCCCACCGACTTCGCTTCAGAAACTCCTTCGAGGCTTTTGTCACCGAAGTTCGGGGATTCCTGTGTGTCAAATGACATCTCTCTATGGTGTATCACTGCCCCGTCCTCAATCATCCCTCTCCATCCTGGCGCCTTCTTCATTCTTACGACAAAAATTGGTGCACTCATCTGGAACGAGTAAAATGGCTTTATTTCTCTACAACTGTAATCTTCGGTTTCCGAGGTGACATCATTTCTCTGTACAGGCCACACGTTCACTCTCTTATTGCTCCTAATAGTGGAAGACAGTGCTAGGTATCTTGATCTACTTCTGGGGGCTTGTTAAGTACCTGAAAGAAGATTTGAAGCTTTCATTTCATCAAATCACTAAACATGCAGTACCACTTTGCTTTACTGCTACTTTTACTTCGCGCCGTTCACAATACATCTTTGTTTTTTTGTTTTTTTTGTTCTCGTGGCAAAAATTTAGCTGGCTACAGAAGTGCTACATCACTATATTTCATAATGAATTACATAGAGTGACATTGAGAAATAAGTGACCTGGGGGTAGTGTGCTCCTGGGCATCTTGTCTAATGTAGTTGCTACAAAGAGTGCGGAATAAATGTCACCATATTGCTAATCTGTGCTACTCTGACATGAGAAGTCCTAACTCGTATAATCCTATGCATTGGTTGAAATGTATTTAAATACTTGGTTTTTCAATGGTACAGCTAATGATGTGAAGTTCTTGATTTTGTGATTGAGTGAAAGAAGAGGTGGTTTCCATTCATGCAATAGTCATTTTCTTTTCTCTCACGGCAGCTTGCTTTAAAGAAATGTGCCAGGGTATTAATTACAGCAGTTTAATGCCACGCTTGTTGTTGCATTGATCTTTGACAGAGTTTAAGTAACAGAAAGACCCTTGTCCATATCCAATATGAAGAGATGCTAACAATTTATTCACAAGAGTTGGGGAGGGGGTGGGGTGAGGGTCCAATTAAAAAAAAAAATTGAGGTTGACCAACCCATATCAGTCGACCCACATTCGAGGAAAGTGCTGGCAATAGGTTCATTTAGGTTCACTGCACATTTAGGTTCACATAATAATGCCATGGTCAACATCTCTAAACTTATATGAACGCTTTCAGCACTCTTTCATTGCACTTATTTCTTTTTATCAACACTGTAGCATGATTCTTTTGGAACACACCAAAAACTTAAAATTTGTGAATCAATAAGTGGAGTCGCAAAAGTACTTACTTGTGTTTGATAAGCCGGCATCCTTGAACAATTTGAGCAGCCTCGTTTGTGAAATGGCAAGCGAAAAGGAGCATGTTTCTTGGCTGCACTTTGAGTGCAAATCTCATAAATAGCAGGGAGTATATGCACAATGCTGAAAAAGAAGAAACTGATAATTAAAAAAAAAGCTGTGCTGGAGACTTAGCCGCTCCCCAACTCTCATGTGCGAGATCACAATTTGCTTGCTTTCCTAAAATCTGGCAGTTGACAATTCTGTTAGAAGTTTCTGAAACGTACAACCAATCACGCATGCTTCCAAATTTTATGACTGCGACCAGACAATGCTTGCTGCCTTACATCGAAACGGTGCATTTATATCTAAAACGATACAGCATGCACTATTGGTCGTGTGCACACAGTTAGGAGCAGAAATGCGTGATCAATGGGCCATCACTGCAACTTATAAGAACCCCCCCGCAGAAATGCGCAAGTAAACATTTTCACGCGTAATTTAAAACATTAGGTAAGCGTTCGGTAAGAAGATTCAGAACTCGCGTATTGTCACCGGCAGCTGCATACTAACGAATACCGAAGTTTCTGCTTATGCTAGATTGATACTCACCGGTAGTCATCTTGCCACTAATAATACTCGGGTCCTTCTTGATATCAGCGATAGCAGCCAGGGGAATTCCCCAATTGGCAACTAGACGGGTAAAGAGGGGCGGGAAAAAAGCGTTAGGTGGGCAGGGTCGCCGCGCGCTTACAGAATGAATGACGCCGACACCACTACATACCGGGCCCCCAGAAATGCTGCAGGCAGGCAGGCAAGGAAAAAGACAAGAAAATAAACTTAATACCACTGAGCGTGCGTCGCACTAGCTAAGTAAGAGGTAAACAGTTCGGAAACTCACAGTACTACAAGGTCAGATGAGATGGCACGGATCGGGAAAGCGCGCGCCACGGAATGCATGGGCAGAACACACGAAACACTTCAGTCCTCGCTCCTAACAAGGTACGAAATGTTCAGCTTACCTGCACAGGTATTCTCTGAACTCCTTGCTTCCCAGCTGCTTCACAAATTGACTAGCGTATCGAGACATTTTTTTTATCAATGTCGCAGAGTGTCAGGTACGGGGAAGTTTCTCTTCGGGGAGCCGGAGAGCCCTCTTTAAAAAAGAGGACTAGCGATCAAAAAATAACAAAAACAATCTCTTCTGTCCGATCGTGGGTACCCTAAACGGAAACAGTCTACTGGGACACTACGTCCTTAATATACACTTTTGGCAGTGATAATCAAAGGTCTTTGCTGCAAGCAGACCGCTGCAGCGACTACGACACTACGCAAGCGTAACTAGAGGCCGAAACGGCATGAACTAGCCAAGTCGTGGTCAATTTTTAATCCAGCTGGAGCCCAACTATGGATTTCGGCTTTGTCCGCGAAAGCAGCGGTCTACAAGCTTGATCTCCCTTGAAGAAATTTGTCAAATATTACGTTCTTATTTATTTTTCCCATTGATACCGTCACAGCGGAAGCCACGCACATCTCCAGATAAGCAACGTATGCTTATTGATACAAACTGACCAGCTCTATTTATTCGACAATGGAGGTAAGTGTGCGTGGGTTCGCTTGCCACGGGCCCAGTTTCTGATTGTGGTCATCGGTGGTTACATGTTGCGCCGGGGATACATTTCTTTTCTGAGGCACGTATTAAAATTTTTCAGGGCACATTCGTAGTAGATGAAGTCAGCGCCATAATCAAGGAGGTATGTGAAGTTCTCTGAATATCCCGAAGAGATTGCGTACCGGTTTGACTCGCTGTATTAGTGGTCGAGCTTCCTTACATTTTTAATTATGAAATGTTGCCTGGGTGCAATGAAGCCTCGCTGTAAGTTACCGCAGTTTGTTCGCATACAGCTGGCCTTGCCCGGTGATTTTTTTTTCTAAAATCACGCGGCTGTGATTCAGTCCAAAGCTGTTTTGACAACCTTCGTGGTTGTGATAAATACGTGTTTTATGTTCCAGGCAATGGAAACTATTATCGGTGGAAACGTTTACCAGCATAGCAAGGTGCCCCAGTGGACGAACACGACTGTGGAGCACATACTGGGCCAACTAACAAAAATGAACAAGCCATTCAAGTACATTGGTAGTGGTTCCTTTACGTTTATTAACGCGTGCTGTACTCGCACACAGCTACCATAGCGTAGTTTAGAATAAGCAAAGCATGACTCTTAGAACTTTATTACCAACGGGTGCCAGTTGATTGACATATCTGTCATTACATGTAGTTAGTGTTTATCAAGTGAATATTAAAATGAAATCTGCCTATATGCTTTGACATTTTAAATACCAGCGTCCAGCTCTCCATCAGTTTATCGAGCCACGATTCTTGTCTTCATCTGTAGTACCAGGAACTGCTTGTTACCAGACTAGCCCGAGAAACTTGTTCACCTTTAATTATAGTTTGTTCAATTTTTTTTTTCGGTCTGAGTATCATGTGCTTCTAAAAGCCCCGATAGGAAAAGAATGATGATGTGACAGTTACTGGCGTAGGAACTAGAAAATGGGCAAGGAGCACCAAAAATGAATATGCTGCAAAATCTGAACCTACCTTTTTTTTATTTCGAAAGTCTGCCCCTAGGCATAATAATAACATTGAATACACCGCATTGCACTTTTTTATTGATCACAGAATTTTCAAGGATAATTATGTGCACTTACAAAACAACATAGATTTTATGCCTTCTTTTCCTTTTTTTTTTTTCTAGTGACATGCGTTATTATGGAAAAGAATGGTGCTGGTCTTCACACGGCAACCTCTTGCTACTGGGACAACACCACTGACGGTGAGATAGCCAATTTACTTCGTGTAGCGCTTTGTAGGGCGTGTCGGAAAGTATGTGCAGCAGGCCATGCACATGTCATTGCATTTGGCAGGGAGCAATGTTGGTAATTTATTTTGGTCAATTTCATCAGGTTGCAATCGAAAACATTCACTATTTAGTTAGAAATCAGCTGGAAGTTTGAGCCCTTAATATTTTGTTTCTTTCATGACTTGCTTATTACTGTACAAACTGTTATCTCTGCATTATTTCCTGCGGTGATGAGCTAATGGTCCATATGTGAAAAAGATAGGAGGACACCTGATCTTCTAAAATGGCACTAAATCTTGAAGTTGCGTTTTTTTTTTTTTTCTGGAAAAAGCAGTTTTGATGTACTCAGATGGATCATAAGCGAGTGCTTTGATTTGCCTTCGCAAGCAGTAACATACTGTAGGCATATGTAGCCTCTTTGTGATAAGATAGAGCCATGACATTTGATCTTAGCCAGTGTCCCTTAAGGAATTTCATAAGATTCATTTACTTGCTTATATAAAAAGAAAAGTCACTAACACTCCTAAACATAGAGCTGCTGTTGAAGCGACTAAAAGTAAAACTTGCTAAATTTAGAAGCTGAACTGGGCTACACTGTCGGGGGTCTAGCATGTGAAGTTTCTTCCATGCACTCAAGGCCAGACGAAAAGTCAAACCTCGAGTGAGCAATATCTCGGCAAAACTCAAGTGAAGTTAAAATTATGAAGCTTGTTTCTGTCTAAAGTGTGCTTGAATGGGTTTGTACGAAACATCAATAGACACTGTTCAGTGTATAAATAGAAGGTGCAGTAGTACAGAGACGTAATTTTGTGGCCTGTGCTGTACCCTCATAATGAGATGCAGCAGTGTCTTTTAAGAGCCACATTTCTTTAAGTGTATGGGTTCTATATTTGTGAGGTTAGTAATATCTTCATAGATAATGACATCTAAGGCAGTTCACCTAAAAACAGAGAACTGTGTACTTCTTATGAACACACATGTGTGGCTCCATCTGAAAATAGATTTCTCGCTCGTGTATTCATGTATGTATTCATTGCATTAAAAGATGAAACGATTGTTCTTTTGTTATTTCATAGAGAGAATCACGTGGTCACACGTGGATATGTATATTGCAGCTTGATGGAGTTCTTACCTTATACGTGCAAATGACACTAGCAACATTGCGTGATCAACCATGAATCAATTATTTGGTGACCGGCATCAGCACCACATTGAGAATTCTTTTTTTGTTATATACATTATAAGTCCCATCAAGCGAGTGATTCGTCTGATAACATTCCCGAGGCCTCGGGTATGTTCTTGAACATGGCAGGCACACTCCAGCGAAAGCAATGCTAATGCTTGTGGATGTACATTAAAAGTACATATGCAGTGAAAGTTCATCAAAAAGACTTCCACTGTGGTGTGCTTTATGACTATATATAATAATGAAACTGGTGTTCAGATTTGTATTAACCAATGACAGATGTAAAAAAGAAACAAGAAATAGGAAGTTATATAAATTATAATTTTAGCTGCTTCCCAGTAAGATATTGAGACGCCGTTTCTGCTGCAATAGCATTAAAATAGTACGAGTCATATCTGTTGTGAATCGTTATATGTTGTTTACTGTTGCTTTTCAGGAAGCTGCACTGTACGTTGGGAAAACAAGACCATGTATTGCATTGTATCTGTGTTTGGCCTGGCCATATAAGGACTTCTTGTGTCTGCTCTGTGACAGTATGTGTGCATTCCATGGGCCTGGAAACTAACCCTTTCAGTACCGTGCTGCATGCATTAAATATGAGAAAAAGGTTGCCTACACTAGTTTCGTTGCGGAAGTTGTTGACCAATATTTTTTTACTTTTGCTGAACGAAAGCTTGCTGCTGGATGCGCATCGTTGGGTTTTGTAAAACACGCTTGTATGTGAATAACAGCTCATGAAATAAATACCATTTATTTATTGCATTCGCCTCTTACCTTTTCTAATGATGGCCACAGTGTGATGGACTGGATAGCAAGTATCTAGGTGTGGACTAGCTGCTAGTGAAATGCAAGATATTAAAAGCTTGGAATGAAGGTGTAGCTGTGCAACCCAGCAGCACACAGTCGCGACGAGGACACGATGGAACAAACTGCTGCGCTGAAAGCCACGAGACACATAGTTGATAAAAGCATCGAGAAGTGAAATGTCCCTTATTGTCAATTTCACTAAGGTCAGTATAAATTATCAAGTTATTAAATTATATATTTGTTCATTTTGAATTAAGTTGATAATTGCCAACAATAATATGAATGCTCTTCATATTAAGTTGAATAGTGCTTCTATTAAGTTCATGTTTTCTCATTGTACAAACACTCACTCGGAAGGCAAATACGTCTCATCTTGCGGCAGCCTGTATAGAACAGTCAGCATTGCAGAAGTGACATCTGTGATCTGAGCACATGAATAAATGAAAGCTTGTGAGCTTCGTTGGAGTGCCAAGTCATATAAGAATCTCCAATACTGATGCATGATTTTCTATTTGATAGATGGCGCCATGCTCACTGTTAGACAGCTTACAACATTGAAACCTAGTCTTCCCTCACTTAAGCTCCCCACTATTGTATTAGGAACTCGGACACAGTGCCTTGTTAAACTGCGACGAGCTCGCACAAGTGAACGGACAAAAGTCACATCGTTTACTGACAATCTCAAAAGGGGCCACCCCACGGTGACTGCTGTTCGCTTGCCCTGCGTGCTTCGGCTAGCCTCTGTGCGATCATGTCTTCGAAGGCAGAGCTCTGCAGGTGCCTTGGTTGTGAGGCCTGCTCGGTTTCTTGAAAATCACTCGTGTCCACATTGGCTCCAAACTGCGTCTGCCCCTTAGTGAAGTTGGAGTACTTTGGCCTTTTGGGACCAGGAGCCGGGCGGTATGCAGATGGAGGGGCAAACTCCGTCGGCCTTTCTTGCCTCTGAAGCTCCACCCAGTCATCCTGCGACACTGGAAATGAACCATACATGCCTTAAACCAGGATCAGAAGCACCAAAGCTTATCACCAGAAGTGCTAGCTGATATGTGTTGCCTCTGTCAGAATACATATTGCGGCCTGCTCAAGGTAGATGACTAAGACGATGTATGCTCCAGTGAGCCCTGTATAGCAGAACAATCCATCTATGCCTTTTTCCTACAGTGGTGTACAAAACGGACTGTCTGCTGTTATAGTATGCTTAATTGTTTTCCCATTTATGGCATAGAACATTGTCAATGGTGAAAGTAAAGTTAGTGCAGCTTATTATTACTGAGGTCATTATTATAATTATTAGTAACGTCACTGTACTATATTCACAAAATGCAACATGCTGCCTAACTAAAGTGAACACCTCTGCTTCCACAATGTGAAGTTCGTGTGACATAATTTCGGCTTAGAGTTTCACTTGAGAGCCTGCAACATCTTTTGTGGTCAGATTCGTAGCAATATGACATGCCTGTATTAAAAGCATATACCGTAATTACTCGAATCTAACGCGCACCTTTTTTCCGGTTAAGCGAGTTCATAAATCGCATGTGCGTTAGAATCGAGTACGAACAAAAAAATTACGGTCAATCTATTGCCATCGGCAAATCTAAAATGGCCGCCCCCTACGTGCGTCGGCACGGCGGAACGGCATAGCGCGTCGGCCATTTCTGCCTATGTGTTTCCCATGTGCGGCACTTTGTACGTGTGCTGAGGAGTTCGTCATCTAGTAGTGCATTTGAATCGACGGCGTGGATGGGCCGACTACCAAAACTCGAGTGCACCACGATGCCGCTTTTAAAAGAAAAGTGATCGCGTGTGCAGAAACGGACGGAAATCGGGTCGCATCGCGGTCGTTCGGAGTTCCCGAAACGTGCGTGCGGGACCGGCGGAAACAAAAGCAGAAGATTGTCGACAGCAAAACTTCACGCAAAGGCTTCTGTGGACCACACCGGGGTCGGTTTCCGCAAATTAAAGAGCTGCTCGGCGAGTATGTGCTTGAGCAGCGAGTCGCACAGCGGCCCGTGACGACAGAACTGCTCCAAGTGCGGGCTATGCAATTAGTCTTAGAAAAAGGTCTAATGCGGAGCCAGTTTAAAGCGAGCAGGTGCTGGCTAACTAACTTTATGAAGAGGAAAGGCTTTTTCCTCCGAAGGGGAACATGCATATGCGAAAAGTTTTGCGGAGGAGTACGATGAAAAGCTTCACAGTTTTCAGAGGTTCGTCCGAAACTTGCGGCGCAACAACGGCTACCTGCTTGGGCAAATCGGGAATGCCGATCAGACGCCTCTTTACTTCGACATGCCTGGCACCACAACCGTCGAGAAGAAGGAGGCAAAGCAAGTTCGCGTGCTGACATCGGTCCACGGTAAAACTACAGTGACGGCAATGGTCTATTACACGTCAGATGGGCACAAGCTTCGCCCGTACATCATATTTAAATGGAAGACGCTCCCGAAAGGAGTCGTTTTTTCGAGTGGTGTGATCGTGCGGGCCAGCGAGAGAAATAGGTGCGCGTTGCAATTGATGTCTTACGTTTTTTTTCTTTTTTTTCGCGGTGGAAATCGGGTGCGCGTTACAATCGAGGGCGCGGTAGAATCGAGTAAATACGGTAACGGCGGGTTCAAGTTTTAAGTTTCACTGTCGAGTTTTATTCCAGGAGAAAAGTGTGTATGCATTGCAACATTGCGGTGAACCTCTGATTATAGTGTGCACGTGTACATAGTAATGTTGCACTAGACCTTAGCTACAAGTTACTATTTTCATGTGGTGTATGCACATAAATTTTCATCTCGCTGGTTCTAGTGGGGCAAAAACTTTAGAATACGCTACAATCTTGGCGAAATCTACTCCTCATTTGGTTATCTCAGTACTTTGCAAGGAAACCTCTGTGCATTATGAGCTGGACATTCACATGTATTTAACGCATCAATAATTACACAGAAAAACCGAGAGCACATGTCTGTCTTACATATTCATGAGCAATGAACCAAGAGAAGTGCTCCTCAGCTACTGCTGTTTTTAAAAGAGCGCTAGCTTCAGTGGCATGTTTAGGCTATATACTGCTGTACAACCTACTCTGTGTTTCTTTTTTGTTTTATATTTAAACTCATTGCAGGTTAGCAAACCACATACTTAGATGATAGGCCTCTCATCTTTGCTATTCCATCTCGCTCTCTATGCAAAATTTGACGATGCACGATGAAAATCTAGCAAGAATAGATGCTTTTCGATATTGCAAGTAAAGAAACATCACCATTAACACTTAACTTTACCGCAACCAGAAACAATGAAAATCTGTACGGCATATACAAAAAGCCATTTTCTGAAATCTATGGTGTCCCATAGATAACCTCACTTCACCTGATGCAGTTACATTGGTAACACAAAAAAATAATTGAATTAATCCTGTATTTTTTTATCAAATATTTTTCAGTAGTGTATAACATTCATAACCACTTGAGACAAAGTGTCATATTTTTGCAGCTGGCCGTGGTTTGAAGCTTATGCAATGTAGTACAAACTCACATTTCTTCTTTCGGAAGAGTGGATCGTTCACCATGTCCGCCAGATTCTTTCCTTCATCCCACGGCCTCATTTCAGGAACTTCCAGGGTGTTGGAATCACCAGCAATTTTCGGCCGGTCAGGCACACTGCTGTTGGCGTCCACTTGTTCAGTTTCATCTTCTGATGAATCTGTGTTAGGCAGGCAACCGAGATGGGTCAACAGGGAGAAAAACAATGCTGCTTGTAGAATTTCTAAACCAACAGTGAACTAGGAAAAAGAACAGGTATTAATGGCCACTGTGATCCGATTCAGCACTGTTAGGAAGTTGCAAAAGAGTTGTAGAGAAACCCGGCTTCTGTAAAGTCTTCAAGGAGGCACATTTATATGCCGCTGAAAGTTTTGACTTCATTTCACTCTCGCAGCAATGCTGAGTGTATCAGTAGAGTATTAGGCTGGGCTTGCAAATGTGTGCAGCAGCCTGAACTACTTCCACTGCAAACACTTGCAGGGTGTCATTTTTAGAGGTGCTGCAACAGCAATGATTACCAGTAAAGTGATGCCTCAGACTTTTGTCATTGAGTAGTGCTCCACAAGTATCAACGAACATCAAGGGCTACGAGTAGTTCAAGTACATCATTAGTTGTCGAGTATATTAGCACACTTGGCAGCAGAGATGCGCACAGGAAGCCTCTCCTCTGTAAAGATGCCTGCGACATTGCACGCTTTCCCGTGGGGACGGGAGGTACCTCGTAGTTCAGTGCTTTCCCCACAAGAAGCGCTTGCAGCTGACACTACTACTTCCGCTGGATTCGGAAGTTACGCCATCACAGAGACACGACCGTGTTGCCTCCGAGACGGCAGTAAAGATTGCTTTAATCTCAGAGGCTGCAAGGTTTAAAGAAGCCGCCGCAGTGAGCGCTCGCAGCCGACACTGTTTGGGGGAGCGGAGGAAGAGAGAATGGGAGAGGGCCGGGAACCAGCTTTTCGGCTCACGTCGCAGGCATCTCCACTATTCAAGCACTTTCCTTTTGTCACTTGTACATTACTGTACAATACAGAAACAAGGGTAACGGTTTTGTATAGCAGCTAGTAGGCATGTTCATATTAGTTCCCACACCGAACTTTTGCATCAGATCTAGGCGACTTGACTTGCAACACGCCATATTTGTTATGCCACATTTGCACAAATTCACATCTCAAGCTCGTAATCCTGTGCTTAGTTGCAGCATCTGGTGTGTAAATAGTTTTGGAAACTCGTGATCTGCAAAAAAAAGTTCAATTTTCCAATGCCGGACACGCGACTCATAGAGGATACCATGTTGAGCCAGATTTGGATTGAAATACTTTTTGTGCTTATTTATACAACCCCTTTTGGGCAAAGCAGTACTTTTCTTATAAAATATGAACATGAGGCCGTACATACCTTTATTTTCTTCCTCCTGCTTGTTGTCCGGTATGTTCTTTTTCTGACGAATCCTAGCCAGGCGTGCTTCAAGCATGGCCTTTCTCTTCTGTTTCATTTTCTTCGATATCTCCTTCTGTCTCTCAGTCTGAAATATAACACCAATACTTCTGGCAGTGAGAAAAACATACTTCTGGACTATGGGCGCTGCTCCCGGAAATGGGTGCCTTCCCGGAAAACGTAGCACTAGATTGAATCATGATGCCCTCATTGAACCTTTCAGAGCTCGCACTGACATCTTTCGGTGGTCATTTTTCCCGGATGCTATAGAAGGATGGAATTCTTTACCCCAACATATCAATAGTACCGATGTGCAAACTTTTGACAGAGATTGATGCTTATTTTGGTAATGGTTGAAGTACTGCCCATTCTGTTTTCCCGTGTTTATTGCTTAGTGGTTTTTTTAGGTGTTCTGTTTGTACTCATATTGTACTCCTTCCCTGTTATGACCCTCAAGCGAGGGTTGACAGTATTATTAAATAAAAAAAATAAAAAAAGGAGATGCAGGCATGTAGCTTGACTGCAATGTCATGAGTCATTACACAGCAACAATAAAAGGCGCATAATGTTCCAGAGTGTTTTTTACAGTTAAATTATGTATGCTATCAAGTTAATAAAATGATTAACACTTACACACCACAATAATAACGTGTAGTGTTAAGTTATTGCATACACAAAAGCATTCATTAGTGTTCTTCAATTAAACCCATAGCTAATGCACTGAGAAACATTTGTTTTCTATTATTAACACAAGAGAAAAAGGAAACAACAATCGAGGCTGAAAAATTAAAGAAAAACTAAAGTCAAATAAGAATTTATGTCACCGTGAAAGCTCAATGTATGACATCTAAAACGACAATATTATCGACAGCTGTGCCCTACTTACTCAGAAATTAAGATAAATGCACAAGAATACATGCGCCACAGTTCGAAATTTTTAAAATGATCTTGATGACGTCAGATGAACTGCCTACAATTATTCACTAGTAATCAATCTAGCTGCACTAAATAAAGAACCTTCAGTGCATCGAGACACAATGAAATGCTGCTTGCTCGTTTCTGTTTGATTCATGAAAAAAAAAAAAAAAAACCGGATGTTACTATATATGGGGAATGGCACGAGCGGTTCAAAAATTCAATTTTCGCGTGGTTACACGGGACAGGTGGTGCCATCTAGCGGGGTGCAGTTGAACCGAAAAATGTCTGCAATCTCGGAGCCAATGGCGGGAAATTGATCAATGGCCATTGTTGCTACTGTGGCTCCCACTGCTTTCGTTCTGCTGTTACTAGTGTCAACGGTCACACAGTAAAGCCGGGCAACGTTGCACGCGGCAACAGCGACGCGATACGTTCCGTTTCTTGAGGCGGGTACTTTGAAGTGCGCTAACCCAACGCGGAGCACTAAAACGTGATTTTATTTCAAAATCTGCCCTTCCTTGGCATGCAAGGAACACTACGAGGTTTCTGGACCACTATTTTAACAATCAACGTCGACTTAATAGTTGCCTTTAGTGTCCCTTTAAGAAATAGAACAAAAAGAATGACGCAACAATACTGACTTGCTCTCTGAGCTTGTTCAACAGCTCCAATTGTTTCTGGCGCTCCACAGAATCGCCAGAAAGGTCATAGAAGCCAACACCATGCTCTCTGGCCTCTGAATTAAAGAAACACAATACATAAAAATGCCCATTAATTTACAAAAAGAATACATAAAAATTGTTGGGTGACTCGGTATTCATCTACTGGTCTCTGCCAAACTAATAATTGTTGGTGTTTTATGTCCCAAAGGACATTACTATAAGGGTCACCACTATAAAGGGCACCGAAAATTTTGACAATCTAGTGTTCTTCAACATGCACCTAATCTAAGTCTATGGGCTTCTAGAATTTCACTTTCATCAAAATATGACCACGATTTGGTCCCGTGACCTTCATATCAGCAGTAAAGAACCATAATCACTAGACCACCATGATGGGTCTAGTGCCAAACATACAAAAAAAGGTAAAAGATATTTGTACTCCCGTTTTTACTCCTTCATTGTTATTATTTCTTTTTTTCACAAGAAATCCCACAAATAGATTGTATTTAAACATACGGTTACATATTTTTGTAATCACCATGATCGTCATGAAAGTAACTTTGCAATGATTGCTGTGTCACTTGCACATGAACTGGTCTTTTCATTCACCTAGCACAGATTATGACTTGACATTCACAGGTCCTTTAAAAATGTGTAGTACCCATCTGCTCAGTGATTGATAGATATCAACAAAATGATACAGCTTTACGCAGCATCAATTCTGTCGCATGAGGTCGATTGCTGAGATTCTGCATAAAGTGAGACACGAACCTTGGAAGCGCACGTCGCCGTAGTGCAATGACTCTTTGTACGCATTCTCGGCTTCTTGATCCTGCCACTGCTGTCTTAGCTGCTCGCGTGTGCGTTCATGCGCCAGGAACTGTGCCGTGCGTTCAGGAATGTCTGCTTCGACAACACTGAAAGGTGCAAAAGTATAACCAGAGAATATCGGTATCCCTTGTCTAACACAGCAAAAGCATTTATGTTTGCATAAACATCTGTTATAGTAAATACAAATAAAATACATAGTACACTAAATATCAACTGGTGCAGAATAACAGCCATTTCGATCACAATGTTTGTGTACAGAGACAAATATTGTGCATTTTAAAAGGTGTACTACCACCACAATTGACATGAAATGCACAATATTGCTCCATATTACTATTGTTGATACGTGTTCATTCCAGCACCAGAAGGCCTTGAACTTTATAAAAACTCAGTGCTACTTCTTGCAGCAAATACGCTGTCTGCTTTAAACCTGCTTTTGTAATCTACTTCTATGAATCCCAATCTTTACTCTATTCTGCCAACATTAATAACAACAACTGTTATTGTTTCTTGCACCTTAGTACCCACGAAATGCAGGATATCAGGTCTTGGTTATCAAGAATATCGCTAAGCTATCCGTGGCTCGTAAGTGGCTACATGACTATAACAGCCCAGTTCCTTGGATTTGCACAGATTTGCTACTTATTTGTTTTATTAACATCCATGCTGCAGACTACTAGATAGAATATGTTCGCATAAAATATTGCCACAGACATGAACACAAAAGAGAGAGAGCTAATTATTGCCTATTTCACACTAGTTTTTCATTATTTTGCAGTAACAAAACCTAGTCAAAACATAGGACCAATGCCCTGCCGGGGTGGCTAAGGTACCGTATTTACTCGATTCTACCGCGCCCTCGATTGTAGCGCGCATCGGATTTCCACCGCGAAAAAAAAAAAAAGTAAGACATCGATTGCAACGCGCACCCATTTTTCTCGCTGGCCCGCACGATCACACCACTCGCAAAAACGACTCCTTTCGGGAGTTTCTCATAATCATATGGTGGTTTTGGGACGTTAAACCCCCCATATCAATCCTTCCGGGAGCGTCTTCCATTCAAATATGAGGTACGGGCGAAGCTTGTGCCCATCTGACGTGTAACAGAGCATTGCCGTCACTGTAGTTTTACCGTGGACCGATGTCAGCACGCGAACTTGCTTCGCCCCCTTCTTCTCGACGGTTGTGGTGCCAGGCATGTCGAAGTAAAGAGGCGTCTGATCCGCATTCCCGATTTGCCCAAGCAGGTAGCCGTTGTTGCATCGCAAGTTTAGGACGAACCTCTGAAGACAGTGAAGCTTTTTATCATACTCCTCCGCAAAACTTTTCGCATATGCATGTTCCTCTTCGGAGGGAAAGCCTTTCATCTTCATAAAGTTAGCTAGTTAGCCAGCACCTGCTCGCTTTAAACTGGCTCGGCATTAGACCTTTTTCTAAGACTAATTGCATAGCCCGCACTTGGAGCAGTTCTGTTGTCACGGGCCGCTGTGCCGCTTGCTGCTCAAGCACATACTCGCCGAGCAGCTCTTTAATTTGCGGAAACCAACCCTGCTGTGGTCCACTGAAGCCTTTGCGTGAAGCTTTGCTGTCGACAATCTTCTGCTTTTGTTTCCGCCGGTCCCGCACGCACGTTTCGGGAACTCCGAACGACTGCGATGCGGCCCGATTTCCGTCCGTTTCTGCACACGCGATGACTTTTCTTTTAAAAGCGGCATCATGGTGCACTCTAGTTTTTTGGGGTCGGCCCTTCCACGCCGCCAATGCTAATGCACTACTAGATGACGAACTCCTCAGCACACGTACGAAGTGCCGCACATGTGAAACACATAGGCAGAAATGGCCACCGCACCATGCCGACGCACATAGGAGGCGGCCATTTTGGATTTGCCGATGGCAATAGATTGGCCGTAATTTTTTTGTTCGTACTCGATTCTAACGCACATGCGATTTATGAACTCGCTTAACCGGAAAAAAGATGCGCGTTAGATTCGAGTAATTACGGTACTCGGCTGCTGACCCGCAGGTAGCGGATCAAATCCCGACTGCGGGGGCTGCATTTTCGATGGAGGCCAAAATGCTGTAGGCCAGTGTGCTCAGATTTGGGTGCACGTTAAAGAACCCCAGGTGGTCGAAATTTCCGGAGCCCTCCACTACGGCGTTTCTCATAATCCTATGGTGGTTTTGGGACGTTTAACCCCACATATCAATCAAACATAGGACCAATTAACAAAAAAAACTTTCGCAGTAAGGTATGAGAGGTGTATTCACAATGCAAGGCCTTCTGTGTATTTGTTTTTTATTCTTGAAAGTCTGCCCTAAGGCATAATAATTTTTGGTTAAAAAATACACATGCGAATTTGCTTAATGTGTTTGTAAACCCCAGCTAGCCATCAGTGTTCAATATAAGTAGCAGTAACCTTACCCAGCCTTTCCTGTAAGCTCCTTGTCACTGTCAATGAGAGCAGGCAGGTCTTTTCGCATGCATCTCCGGGATCTTCCGAGAGCATCGGTGTAGTCCACCCTAAATGGAAATATGATGCGCATAAGCCTAGTGCAATGCAGGCCTAACAGGGACTCAGAGTTTAGCAATCATTTCCACGTTAAAATCATCACTATAAACACCAAAATAATGGTGAACTATCAGTTAGCTACAAAAAAGGCAGGTGCATACCTCCGTTGCCACGCTAAATTTTAATGGCACATCTTCCTGCATGTAGCACAATTTAAACCCAAGATCTGGCACAGTATCATTTGCATGAAAGTTTTGCTTGCCTGCAACTGAAAGTGATGTGGCCAAGGGCCGTCAAGAAACCAGTGCATATTAATCGCTTGTAGAACTACTGCACAATCTTCTTTTAATGAATTTGTTCATACTTGCCAACTTGCATTCATTTCACCATTAATACTCCCCATGATACAAACTCACCATCTTTTATTGGTTTATAAATGACTCGGAACAAAAGCACCCAGTACATGCAAAAGAAAGGTAAATTGCCGACCGTTCATTTGAAGCATGAAGCCACATGGAAATCCATACGGATTTCTCAGCAAAAAAGCTTCATAGTTTCTGGAAAATCTGCCTGGTCAAGGGATTGAAGCCGAGACCAATGCCTGTTCGGCTCTACCAATCAAGCTATCCAAGAATCTAGCAAGTGGCAGCACAAGGGTGAATTATCAATGATGCAAGTGCACGGACACAAAATAGTGCAAATCAGTTCTGCAGGGACTGGCTAATTCTGCAGTTGTACTGACTGGCGAAACCAATCCACAAATACTACAAAACCATATAATGTAAAAACTAGAAGAAGAGAATAGAAAAAGGAAGGATGCAGTTCCAACACAAATGCTGCCCTCTACAAAGTGTCAATCTGACTAAACAAAGAGAAACTACGAAATGAAATTGAACTCATCTCGGCTCAGAGAAGGCATATTCAATCTTGGAAACTAATCGTAACAATATGTGTTCGTGGTGATAAATCATTGAATTAAAATTCGGTTAAAGCAAACAGCTTTTGAGGTGACTTCTTAACCAGCGATCACTGGCACATACCATTCTTCTTCTGTACCCGCAAGGCTCTTGTCCAAGGCCTCATGGTCTGCACTTGGCGCATTATCATCTGCGTCGAGATCGTCCTTACTGCACACTGCAGCAGCTTCTTCCCTTGTGGGCACAGTGGGCATCTCTCGCCGCTCCCTCTCTTCGACCGCTGCGTCCATTGCCTTTCTCTGGAAGTTCACAACATACTGGCTTGCTTCTTCATCTCCTGGTGGTACAATAGGACCAAATATAAAAGGTGAGAAAATGCACTTTGTTCAGTCCCTAACAAAATTGATGCATTTAGGACAACAATAGAGCCTCCAAACTTGCTAAATTATTGAAAATGGAGCTTTGACACAGTCATGTATCAATCTTTTTAAAACACAATGTGACATCAAAAACAAAGTTCTGATTTGAGGCATTTAAGGAAGAGGCATAGCCAAGATCTCATGTTGAGGGGGTTTCTGTCTTAGTGTGTGTGTGCACATGTGTAACATATGTTGTGTGCAATATGAGCTGTAACACGATGCTTATCATCAAAGTGGCACGAATACCACACAGCGGCACCACCATAAAAAAACTTGGCAAGGTAAACACTTGTTTCACTGATAGCATTCTGTTAACCAACGTAACATTCGATGTTGTCGTCTTGACAGCTTACACCCTCTACAATTGGTGCCAAAAATTTATGAAGGGGGGAGAAGGGCATTCAGATGTCAGCAGGGAACACAAGAAGACTTGATAAGAAGCCACACCTGGAATCACTTTGCCAGAGCTGAGCTTCTCATAAAGTTTAGCTTTCCGTTGTAATGCAGCCCTGAAAAATGAAGTGGCAAACAACATGACATGTCAGACGTGGAATAGGCAGTGTTCTATATTTTACTTTTATAACATACCAGAAAAGAAAACACGATTATTAAGTAATAATATAGAACATGCACCACAGTATGCGTGCAATATATCAAGCCTTCCAGTGCACATGTGGACTGGTGCATTAAGTGTAAGATTCATGTGTTTCATACAGACTCGTAGAAATTGCAGAAAATAAGTAACCAATTAAAATTACTTCTTTAAAACTGTAATTGATTATAGTAGTAGATTACAGCACCAGGAAAGCAACTAAGCAATTACCGAAATGTAATAGATTACATTTGAGTTACTTTCCTTCAAAAAAATATTGCCATAATACAAGTTTACTTCAACTAAAACAAACTACTGTGGCTTGCATAATAGAGAGAAATATGGGAAAGCTTGTTGTGGCCTTTGTAATATTATGCTACACTGAACACTCTCAAAGGGAAGGGTGCCATCGTGACATAGGAACACCTTGCAGATCAGCTGGTAATTGCGCAATGCTTTGGGGCTTGTATGCATGTCCTTTATGAAGTGTCAAAGCTTCACCGTGTCTGGCACTTGAATGAGGCTGTCGAAAAGTGGCAAAAGTAGGCTCTGTAGGGACCCCCCATTGGGAACTAAAGTATGTGATTACCAGTGACCAATTACAAAAAATGTAATTGATTTACCAGAGCATTACAGGTCCAAAAAGATTAACGATCATATTACAAACCTACAAAATATGCAAATGATTACAAGTAATCAATTACTTGACATGCATTATGTTAAATGCTGGTTAAATATCCTTGCCTTTTTTGTTTCTGCAAGTTTTTTTTCACACATAGGATGTGTAATAATACAACTTACTGTACTGAAAAGACAGCATACACAATAAATAAAAACAAAGCTTTGCTTTCTATTCTGACACCTTTGCTGCAACGGAGTTGATTCATTATATCAACAATTCGCCTCAAAGGATTCATGACATAATATTTTCAACGCTAATTTCCCACATTAAATGATTGGGCCGCACCTACACTAGATGAAATAGAGACTATTTTGTATGTGATGTAAAAACAGGTCAGTTTATATTTCACAGCACAAGCTTGTACAATAGCCGTGGCCGTACAGCAATCTCTAAATTGGATGAGCAGTCACGTAATCAAAGTTCGCCTTCAAAAGGAGCGCTCAAATGAACAGCGATTACCTTGATCTCTTCAGATCTGCGTCCTCTTCTGCAATGTCCGGAGCCGCGGGCGCCTTTTTCGGCGGTTCCTTCTTAGTAGCAGCACCGGAGTAGCTTCCAAGAATAAGCTGTATAAGTAAGCCTTCGTAAGCACTCCTATAGTAAACCTATTTGTTAGCATCCACTACACGTCGCGCGATACGCAAGCAAATCCTACTACAAGTTTGGTGCTCACCTTCTGTTTGACATAACCGTCTTCAGGATGGAACTGTTTTAGCTTTTGCACCTTTACAGCTTCCCTTTTCCTGAGTAGTTCCGCCTTTAGATCAATAAGCTGGAATGTTTGAATAAAGAAATGTTAGCCGCACATCGTCTTCGAGATGTCAGTGAAATTACTTACCGAGGACACACTTGCTCCTAAGGACACCTTCCCGAACGTGCCTTTCTTGTTAGATCCTTCCATCTCGAAAAGCGCCAGTAACAATTTTTCGGTACGTTGAGACGTTCTGCTATGACTTCATACGATCCTCGACGCTGTCATGTCTCACACGATCCCCCTATGCCCATATGATCAGAAACTGCGCCGACTGCGTTGCTTTACTTCCGAATGTAAACATAACACGCAATGGCTTGGCCAGACTTGGCCTGGCTTGAAACTATTGTGCACAAGCATAACCTCAAAAGACAAATTTGTGGTCACAGCAAATTGCAATTAGTCGTCAAAATTTAAAACATTTGATTAATTATTTAATGTTGCTTATAGTAATAAAGCAATTAGCTAAATAATATTTCAAAACATGAAACTTCTTGGGAGCGAGTAGGTTGCTGGGTTGAAGAGTATTTTCAGCGGCCGTGTTTGTGTTTGTGGTGGCCTGTTGCTGTCGCTTGGATCTTGCGTTGCAGTTGTGTGTAATTTCTTTACAAGTGAAGCGATATGTCGTGAACAACTTTTCTGAATATAGAGGAAAGGAGGATGCTTTTCGAAGGCAGCCGCTAGCTTGCGCGCATTGGTGGGTCACCAGTTGAGAACGCGAGCGTCGACTGCGTGCGGCGTTTCAATGTGCTCTAGCGAACGAACGACATTTTTTGGAGGGGGGCTAGATCCTAATCCATTTTTTGCCAGGCCTCTCGGACATGTAGTATCAGAAACCTCAAGCTGCAACTAGTTCAAAGTACATATAGCGGTATTCTCAAGAAGTGACGCGTAAATGGTACGGATACCTTGTTCGCGCACGAATGTTGTGAAAGTTACGTGGCCAAAATTGCTGCGTTTTATTATCCCAGGATGACGCCATAGGTGTACGACAGTAGTGAGCAGCTTCACAGCAGCAGAGATGGCCACTATTCCTACGAGCGTAGTGGCCACGACGAGCATCTACACGACTACGGTGCCGCTGTGCCAAGGCACGACTGTGCCACTCTGTCAAGGCACGGTTGAGAACCACCAGCTGTGTGCGACTTCGACGGTCACTTTGCCGATACAAGTGACCATACCTCCTGTGGTAGCTGTAAGTATTGAATAGCTCTTCGTAAGCATAGTTTTTTTCTTCAAGTTGTTTCGACCGCCAAGACATTTCAATTAGGTGCATCGCGCCGTCTTGTTCTGTGCAGTTAGAAAATCGACAACAGAGCCAGCAACGGAGAGAGTGGAGCGTTTAGAAAATGTTTTGTTAACTTGCAGCACTGCCATGTTGATAAATTAAACTGCGTTAGGATCAAAATAGGTGAGAACGTTTAGCTGTCTGTCAGTAGAGTTGTTACCGCCACCATTTTTTTACCGATTCTAACTAAGTGCTATCCTCGATACCGAAGTACTTGGCTTGTTAGCCAAAGCCCAACAGTTAGGACCGACTGCTGAGCTTTGTAAACGACAAATTTGTTGTAACGATTTTGGAAAAGGGTTCTAGCAAAAAGGTGCATTTTTTCTGTTTTTTCTTTCTTTCCTGTTGCCCTCAGCACACTGTTGTCCAGCCAACACCAGCCTTGTCTGGCACAATTACGGTGCCTGCCGTGACGCCCACGGTGACGCCCATAACGTCCTCGTCAAACATGGTAGCCGCTTCTAGCGTCGGCGCAGCCGCAGCATGTGCCCCTTCCATGACTACCACCTTAGTCAAGACTGTTGTGCCCACAAGCCTTCCCGAGAGGCATGTGAACATGGGCGATGGTGTTCAGGTTAGTTTGTCTGTGGTCCTCATCTTGCATGTTGTCTAGTGGACATTGCATGCGTTTCGTGAAGCTGCGTAACTGTGGCATTAGGTGTTGTAGATAAGCGTGAATACAAGCTATGCATTGTCAGGACTGAGTAGACAAGCTTTGGCTCACTGTGATGATGTTTTCCCGAGTTGGCTGTTAATGAAGGTGTGCTGACACATTGCTGTTGTGCTGAAATGCGCTTCTTCGATCTCCCCGACATCTTTAACACCAGGTGCAAGCAACTTGGTGTCGTAGAAGTAGATGGCAGCCATGTGGCTGTCTCCTTGCAATTAATGTGTACCACTCGTAAAGTATGATTAAAGGGCTGTGCAGGGGTCCTGTCAGTCCCCGTGCCCAAGAAAACTTTACGTTATAATTTCCTCTAATTATGGTTTATTAATTACTTAGGTTCTGAACAAGCAGCGCCTTCAAGACCTGGTCAAAGAAGTGGACCCGAATGAGCAGCTGGATGATGATGTTGAAGAAGTAAGTAAGAAATAGGACTGAATGAGCTGAAATTGAACTTGCACATCCACTACCCTGCTCAATGAAGTAAGTAGGTGCAATATGTGGCTACTTATAAAATAAGTATGCACATGTCGCCACTGAACCTGACTTCACAAACTATCAAAAATTGTTGCAGCAAACAGACTGTTATGCACACATACAGTGGTGGTATTTACATGTGCCTTTATTTGTCATATTATCCATTGTATAAATGGAATGTTGATACCTTGACACTGTATATTTGTTTTATTGCAGTCCTGTAATCAATTCTCCTTATTTGGTTAAGCGAGCAAAAAGTGATTGTGTGTGGTACAGCGTCATAATCAAAGAAATGAAACACTGGAATCTGCGTTTGCTCAGTGTTTTAGAAAGAACTGTTGTCATTTAAAGGGCAAAATGTAATATTATTGCATGATGCATCACTTCGACGCATGCAAACCTGGTGAGAATGTGTGACTAAACGGCATTACCGGAATCTAGAAAACAGCTTCGTAGGCTGCCTGCAGTGTACTGTGTCACCTTTATCGCATGCCTGGGAATCTTGTTGGTGTTTCCGTGTGTTTGCCGAGCACTTCGAATATTTCTACAACCACCACAAGTTCCTTGCAGCAGAATCATTCTGGGGTTCAGAACATTTCTGCATGGTTTTGTCTTTCTATGCAGAATTGTTATGGTCCTTGAACTTCAATGAAGTCAATAATTGTTAACTCTGATTTAATCAAATGTGAATTGAGCTGCTGTGATGTCTAGTTGGCTACGGTGTTCCACTGCCGAGCACAAAGTTGTGGTTTTGATTTTTTGGCACATTTTGACGGGGTTGAAAATTTCAGACACTTTGATTAGTTGTGAAAAATTAATGTAAGAGACTTCATTACATCTCATAAGCCCGGTGTTGCTTGGGGCTCCTTGACCTTAGAATTGAGACGTATGACATAGCATGAGCTGTTTCGTTCTTATTTGAACTTTAGAATGTATGTAAAACCTTATTAATAGTAATAACAGTAGTACAGTCGACTCCCGTTAATACGAAGTTCACGGGAACCGCAAAAAACTTCGAATTAAACGAACTTCGAATTAAGCAAAAAGCACTAAAAACGGCACTTTTATTAGTTTAAAAGCGCAACAGTTTTGAGGAAAAATAGTCTGTCATCTTCTTCTGCTTGCCGAATCTGGCTGCGGCTAGCAAGTTTTGTAAGGAATACACGTGTCGAAGTGCTTCTTCGGCGTTGTGTTCTCCAACAAAAAACCGCCGCGCAAGAGCAAGACCCGCAGGTACATCGGCAGCCCTCGGTGGTGGCTCATTTCCGATGTCGTCATCGTCATTTTCAGGAATGCAGTCATGGGGCCGAACTATCTGCACGATTTCGCTGTCCGTTAGTGGACCGCATGTTTAGACGTTGCTGTCCACAGCGACATACTCGTCAAAACGGACGTCACCGAGAGCGGCGCGAAAGCTACCGTCGTCGAGCTCATTTGTTTGCACTTCCACTGGCGCACAAGGAGAAGCATCCCCCGAGTTTTCCATGATACCACAGGCCCGTAAACAATTGGCGATGGTTTCTTCTTTCACGCGGGTCCAAGCTCGCGCTAGCATGTTGATGGCACTAAGCAAACTCACCTCCTATTGCGACGAGTTGTCCATGCACAAAAGAATGCGCTCGACGAGATGCTGCCTATACAATACCTTCACATTTTTTATTATGCCCTGGTCCATGGGCTGCAACACGGACGTCGTGTTTGCAGGCAGGTACACAAGATGGATGGCACTCAAGGCAGGTACGTTCATGTGGGCACTATATTGGTCCACAAGGAACAACCCCTTACGGCTTGATTGCGCGAACTTCCGGTCGAGTTTGGTGATCCAGTCCTTAAATATATCGGATGTCACCCACGCCTTTCTGTTCGAGGCATAATCCACAGGAAGCGTCTTCACGCCTTTAAAGCACCTAGGCTTGGCAGCCTTCCCGATCACAAGCAGGCGACACCGTTCTGTGCCAGTCATGTTCGCCGCGACTAGCACTGACACTCTCTCTTTGCTTCTTTTGCCTCCAGAACAGTCGTCGTCTTTAAATGTCAGGGTGTTGTACTGTAGCAGCCGATAAAAAAGCGCAGTCTCGTCTGCATTAAAAATGTCTGCCGGCTGGTATTCTTCGAGGTACTCGCGAAGCTTGCTCGCTTTCCATGTCAGGCACGTTTCCTCATTGACTGACGCCTTCTCCCCACACACGCTTTTAAAAATCAAGTCGTGGCGATGTTTGAAACGCGTAAGCCAGCCATCCGAAGTAGCGAAGTCGTTGATGCCCAACATTTCAGCAAGCGATGATGGTTTTGCCGTGACGACTTCACCACTGAGAGGAAGTTTGTTGTTTCGTGCCTCTCTGATCCAAATCAGCAGTGCTTCCTCCAACTCGGGGTGGGCGCCGGTGCGTATCCGCTTCCGCGATGTCTTGAATTTTTCACTTTCAAACGCATCCAATATTTAGCGCTTATTTTTTATCAAAGTCGACAGCGTGTTAGGCTTAATGCCATACTTTCTTGCAATGTCTTGTTTGGCGGTGCCTCCCTGGTCAACTTCCTTCAAGACTTAGACTTTCGTCGCTAGGTCTAGCGTTCGGTAAGGGCCACGAGTTGCCATTATCAAACGTACGTCACCACCACAACACTCAAAATCAGAAGCGCGGAAACACGTGTGGAATCAACCCAGCGCGCGGGTGACGCGGTGACACACTCGAGTCTCGACTAAAGTCAACTAAAGAGTCAGTCGTTGCCGCCGATGCGATTCGCCAGCGTTAAAAAGATTGCCGCTTCAAGATCTGTGGGGCTGCGGACAGTAGTGATGGCGAAGACACCAGCGCGGTCTGGCAGATGTTTTGGCATATGAAAAGTTCCCCATTTTACTGTAAAATTACGGTTGCGACGAGACTGTCGACTGAAAAAACTTCTAATTAACCAATATTATGGGTCTTTAACTTCGAATTATCGAGAATTTTTTTTATACGATTGCATGCAAAACTGATGAGACCACTTGCTCATTTCTAATTAACCGAAACTTCCAATTAAGCGACATCGAATTACCGGGAGTCGACTGTAGTATGTAGATGCAGTTTGTTTCAAAGCCACAGTTTTGCTGTGAAGACCACCACAAATGAAAGACTCGGAAAAAATATGAAGTAATTAGCTGTCTATCAAAAGTAAAGTGTGTAAACGCTCTTGGGTTCAACCTTGATCAGAATACAGCTTTTGCGTGTTCCAATTGCTCTATAATCACTCTCAATTTCTCAAAATGGAATACAAACTAGCCCGTACCCACACTTTGCGGGTGGACAGCAGAGCTGAAACCTTCATCTCAATGGCTAAATGACTTTTCCTCTTGCCCATCATAGCGGGTCACCTTGATTTTAGCAGCCCACTGAGGGACGAGGACTAGGAAAAGAACTGTTGCACAAGGAAAAGAAGGTGTTGTGCGCTGTTGAAATCAAGATGAATTCACCCCCAAGTTGCTCAAGTTTTCATTTGCATAGCATGTCACACTCTCTTTACATCGGTCTGCTTTTTGCTAGACCTAGCTTCGCACTTGTAATGTGCGTGATTTCAATAAGTAGGAAATGGTCATTGCAAGGCATGTGAAGTAGTGTGGAAAGGCACGCTGTGCTTGTTGCGTACATGTCTTCTAATGTAGAGGTTTCCCGTGTGGTTCTGCTTGCAGCTCCTCCTGCAAATCGCCGACGAGTTCATCGAGAATGTAGTGACATCATCCTGCCGTATCGCTAAGCACCGTAAATCTAACGTTCTGGAAGCCAAAGATGTTCAGCTGAGCCTTGGTGAGTTTGAAATGAACAATCCTTTGTGTGAAAGAATCATTGCTAACTAAACCATCAAAATCGGAGTTGAATTTCGTGAGTGTGTAAACAATAATCACTGTCATACTTGGAGTGAAGAAGTGTAAAAACAGATAGCCCAGTTGCTAAAAATAATTTCGTGCAAGTGATGAAAGAGGTTTAAGTACATTCTTGAATTCACCTTTGTTTGAAACTTTGTTGGTTGCAGAGAAAAACTGGAACATGTGGATTCCTGGTTTTGGTGCAGAAGAGGTGCAGCCATACAAAAAGGCAAGCAGTACAGAAGCACACAAGCAGGTGAGTGATTGCATGTACTGGCTGCTTTTCAATATGTATTCGCACTAGTCTTGTTGTCCATTGGTCATTTTTGACCATTGTAGATATGGGTGCTTGAAGAAAGTTGAATGAGAATTATGAAAAAGCAGAGTAAAACTTGTTGGTTTTTAGAATAGGTTTGAGTGTTTAAAGGCATGTTCCACTCAAAACAGGTTGTCTTTTTATGAAAACATGTGTTAGTTTTGACATTCGAGCTCCAGTTGCATAAGCATCCCAAAAGTGGCTTACTGTTCATTGCATCTGGCTGTCACAAAGTTGTAATGTTATGTACAGCTTTGCTGGTAGTCAAATAATTAAAGAAATTGAAGTGCAGCAACTGTTTTTTTTTTTGACAGTTTTATTAATGGCTCATCTTATATGATGATTCGGTATCCTGCATCTAGGCTGCTTTTAAATGTAGTTGGGCTTTTCTGTTCTGACTTATTTTACCGTGAATTCTTTTTCAGCGCATGGCTCTCATCAGAAAGACTCTGAAGAAATACTAGCTACGTCTATTGTCGTAATGCTTATTATTATTTTTAACATGTTCTGTGAATAAAAGTACATTTTCTGCGGGTTTTTTTGGTACTGGCTGCATTGATTAAATGAGTGCTTTGCACTTCACGTTTAATTTTGCACATCCGGATGAAATGTCAGTGTGAATTTTGCAATCATTAATAAACAAGTTATCCACCGATGTGACGCATGTTGAACTCTTACTAGATGTTGAATTCCTCTTCACTTTTACATCTGATACGACGTTTTCTCTGCAAAATTTTGAGAGGTAGACATGTGGGTTCCAGGAAGAGGAAGGCACTGCCGCACATTCTTCCTAGAGCCTCAGTGTAAACGAACACCTGATACGTTGAATGCAGAGTCTTTGGCATCCTGCTTTTCTTGAAGTATACTTTGACTGCAGGTCCGAAACGTCGTTATTTGAAGCCACCGCTGTCACGTTATTTGTTATTTTTTTCGGAATTAAGCCAGTGCTCTTGTATACCGGATTGTTGGCGTATGATATTTGTGCTGGCGAAACAAACCTTTGCAACAGTTTCCGGAAGTCAGCTTCGCCGCAGTGCATGTGTTTGATGCGCTTAATCTAGCAAGGCTCTAAATGGATCTCGTACCAATGGTTAAACGTGCAGTTAGGACGAATAACCGACGCAGTTTACATGTATTCGCCGACAGTACGGCAGTTACTTGTACTCTGTGCCGGTGAGTGCAAATCGTGATCGCCTTTATTTGCTTAAATGAGAATTAAGAAAGTAAGCATTTTTCTCTAGTGCTTAGCGCTTTAGGGACCTGGCTTCCTTTCCATCTACTGTAACATGTCGCATGGTTACGCAGTTGTAAATACATGAGTAAAACGAGGCTAACGGTGACCAAGACTAGTTCAAAATAAACAAGGCCTAAAATAATGTAAACTCTGGAAATAATCGAGAATTATTTGCAATAGTTTACCTAAAATCATGAAAAACGCTTGTGAAATATCTGGCTGATACCTGTGCCATGCAGGAGAGGGTGCCTCCGTCTCGCAAGCGGGCGATCAGTTAGTGACGGGGAGATTTGTAACTGCTACTACCCCTGCCATTACAAACGCAGTTAATTGTGGTTGCTACCCTTCTCGTTGCTAACTAATAAAATACAGGTAGCAATGGTTACTATCAAATGTCAACAACCATGATATGATTTCGCCTCGCCAATTCCTTGTTTAAACTATGGGCGAATTCGTGAACCTCAGCATTGTGATGTATCTTTGGATAATTCGCATAGAATGTCATGAATGAAAACAGCACTCGCACACAACAAGACTATGTGGCACTTTTTTTTACTATTTCACAGAGACAATTGAAAGTTTTTAGATGTACCATTTCACTCGAAAAACGACCACACACATTTTTATTTATGCACAAATTGTTCGTTTTTTAACATGTAATAAAGTTAAATTTTTTCGTGCAATATTCACTATCATGGGGCTATAGGAGAAGGAAACACATTCATTGCAGACGTTTTTTCTGCTGTTCCAGCAGGAGAGTTGAACTTTTTCAAACAAAACAATAAGTTGGCCATTTTTTCTGGCCTTTGGGAAGTGGGGGGGCCTGAAACCGGAGGGCTCAGTTCATTTGAACCCTGGATAATTCTCCCCTGCGAGCCGCAGGTCGCGAGATCGAATCCCGGCTGCGGCGGTTGCATTTTCGATGGACGCCAAAATGCTTTAGTCCCGTGTGCTAAGATTTGGGTGCATGTCAAAGAACCCGAGGTGGTCAAAATTTCCGGAGCCCTCCACTACGGCGTCTCTCATAATCGTATAGTGGTTTTGGGACATTAAATCCCACAGACATATCAATCCATAAATCAAATCAATCAACTGTGCAAGTGAACCTCGGCCTTAGTTACAATCGCTAATTGCATAATTGGAAGTATTCATGGCGCACTGGTGTAACAGTCTCGCCAATTGCGCCTATCTGATGCCATGTCTTACTTTTGGGCAGAGTTGAGCCAGAACTGAGAAATTTGGTGAAATTGCGCCACGCTGCGTCAATACAGCCAACCACTCTCAGTACTGCTGATTCAGTACAGCCTCAGCGCGGCTAAATTTAGAAAAAAAAAATAGAATGCGCTAATCAGCTGCAGTTAGCGCGTCATCATCTTATCCAGATGTGCAGACCATAACACAAACTACTATATATATAGTGTGGGCATTCATTAAGCACATCATCTATCTTTACAAAGATTCATCATCATGAGTGGTCATCATCTTCTTCTGCTGTGGGGACTTGGCTTGTCTGAGTTCTGTGCCTTGGGCGTGGTCGCTTCATCATGTCTTCCGGGCCTAATAAAGGTTGCCTTTACTGTTACATCACAAGTGGTGGAGTGTGCTCTACGATCTTCCGTCCTCTCCCAGCCCGATCTGCCTCCTGGAGCTGCGCTCAGGTCGTCGTTTGTACCAGCTGTCCGGTAACATGCCTCAGGACGAGCCAACCGGCGCTTCTGCGTCTACCTCCACGGCCCCGGCTACCACGGCCTATCCATCGTGGATTATCACCGCGCACCAGCGTGAGCCGCCCACGTTCGCCGGACTTCGAGGTGAAGATGTGGAAGATTGGTTGGACCAGTTCAATCGAGCGAGTTCCACTAACAACTGGGATGATCCTACCAAGCTTCGCCGTGTTTCTTTCTACCTCACGGGCGTAGCGAAAACATGGTTTTTCAATCATGAAACGGACATTACGGACTGGACGCGTTTCAAGCAACAGCTTCGCCAAATTTTCAGCACCCCGGCGGCTCGTTCAGCTCTCGCGAAGAAGACACTGGATTCTCGCAAGCAACAATGCGGTGAGTCCTACACATCGTACATAGAGGATGTGCTGGCTCTCTGTCATCGTTTCAGCACGTCCATGTCTGAATCAGAGAGAGTTCGTCATCTACTAAAAGGGATAGGCACGGTCGCGTTCAATGCCTTGGTCATTCAGAACCCGACTACGGTCGCTGACATTGTTGCCACGTGCCAACGCCTGGAAGAACTTGAATCCCAACGGTTACCGCCGGACAGCTCTGAAACCACTACCACGACTGATGCCTCATTGCGTGCCATGATCCGGGCGCTTATACGGGAAGAGCTACAATCTTTCGGCCTCTCAATGACACCGAGTCCACCTCCCCCCTCCAACAATGTTTTGCGGGATGTTATCAAAGAGGAGTTGGCGTCCATGACCAGGCCAGCGTTTGTAGACACTCCAGTACCTCGACTCCAACCGACGTACGCACAAGTCCTCGCTGGCTCCCCACCCGTGGTACAACCGATGCCCGCACACTCGACGCCTGTCCCGCTGGCTTCGTTAACTCCGAGTGTGACTAGCCAGCCCTTTCACCCACCGTGTCGGCCGCATCGTCCGATCTGTTATTACTGCGGCTATCGGGGCCACATTGCACGCGTCTGTCGGAAGCGTCAGCAGGACGAGCGTCGTGGACTCGACACCTACGGACGGGATGATGGGACAAGCTGGTACGCTTTCCAACGTCGTCCTTATGATCCGCCGATACGCCACTCACCGTCTCCAACTGCGACACCTGAGCCAACAAGTTCCTACCGCTCTACTAGACGCCGCTCACCCTCACCCCTCCGCCGTTCCACGTCTCCATTGCGACCTGTCTCGCAATTCACCAACCAACGCCCGGAAAACTAGCCTCTGCAGCTTTTGGAGGAAAAGCTGCATCGAACGAAAAGACAGAAATTCCTCCAGTGCGTCCATATAATACGATAGCTGTTTTAATAGAAGGTGTGTACGTGGACGCTTTAATAGACACTGGTGCCTCTTTGTCTGTGATTGATCGTTCTTTGTGCTCACGTCTACAAAAAGTCACCACCCCTTATGATGGACCTACACTGCACGCTGCTCAAGGGGACGCCATTAGACCTGCCGCTATGTGCACCGCTCGTGTTTTCATCGCTGGTATTGTTCATTTTGTACAATTTGCTGTGCTGAATTCGTGTGCCCACCAGATTATATTAGGCTGGGATTTTCTGTCTACGGCGAACGCTTCCATCTGCTGTAAAGAAAATGTTGTTCATATGATGGAAACTGACTATGCCCTGTATGCGGATGACAAGCCCGTTCGCTTGCTCGCTGCTGAAGAGACCGAGCTACCACCTGGTCATCAGCGGATAGTTGCCATCACTTCTAATGTGATCGACTCTGGTGACGTGTTTGTCCAACCATCTGCACGCTGTCTCGCAAGAGGTATAGCCTTTGCTTCAGGTCTAGCGCGATTCCACAATGGCTCCGGACTTCTCTACGCTACAAACCAGACTTCTGAGAAAATTCTCATTCCTAAAGGCACCACAATGGCTTGCGTTTCTGAATCTCAACCTGTCTCTGTTGTCTCTCTTATGCCAGCGTGTTCTGACCTTCCTTCTATTGGACGTTCATCAAGCGTTTCTGTACTTGCTGCGACTATTAGTCCAGAACTGACCTCTTCACAGACAGATGAGTTGCTTGCCTTGCTACAAAAGCATAGGAGATTGTTTGATGCCCATTCCTCATCTCTGGGACAGACGTCCATTATTAGGCATCGTATCCAGACCGATGGCACTTCCATCGTACGCCGTCGACCATATCGCGTCTCTTCATCCGAGCGTGAAATCATTGAACAAAATGTAGCCGATATGCTGCAACGGAACATCATACGTCCCTCCGCGAGTCCTTGGTCATCCCCTGTTGTTTTAGTAAGGAAAAAAGATGGCTCCGTGCGGTTTTGCGTGGACTACAGAGCACTTAATAAGATTACCCACAAGGATGTTTACCCCATGCCGCGCATAGACGATGCTTTGGATTCACTGCAAGGTGCTGAGTACTTTTCAAGCCTAGACCTGCGTTCAGGTTACTGGCAAATACCCATGCACGAGGATGACAAAGAAAAGACAGCGTTTTCAACACCAGATGGGCTGTATGAATTCAACGTCATGCCATTCAGCCTTTGCAATGCTCCAGCAACATTCGAGCGGATGATCGACACAGTTTTACGAGGCTTGAAGTGGAAGACTTGCTTGTGCTATTTAGACGATATCGTTATTTTCTCGTCAACCTTCCCTCAGCACTTGCAACGACTGGACGAAGTTCTTACGTGCCTTGCAAACGCAGGCCTTCAGCTGAACACCAAGAAGTGCCGCTTTGCGAGCAAGACGATTTAAGTG